TATTGTTAATTTCTTAATTTTGTTTAATTATCATGTTTTCACTTAGTTTAAGTTCAGGAAACTAATATTTTAACAGCTTTCTTTCCCAATTTCCCAAAGCTTCATTTTTTAATATCGATGAGTGTTTTCCAGATAAATCCCAGTAAACAACATTCTAACGTATTTACTTACGAAAACTTCAATTCCAGAATACTGTCTGACAATAAGCAGTTTATACACGTAGTTGTCACGCCTATCTCAGACCAAAACATGCCATTTTCACATCCGTTTTCAGACCTGGCCTCTGAATCCATGCCGGTCTTGAGATCTTTCCTCTGAAAGTTATACTCGCTTTGCAAACACATTATAGTACCTTTTCCAGGTAAAGTGAAATATTGTTGTTCATGAGTTCAGGACTTTCAAATACGTTTATACGCTCTCGTAGTTTGAAAACCATACCCGATTTCAGGCCGTTGTAATAGGCAAAATCTATTCCCGTTTTCAAACCACAAAATTTTAGAACCAGTATCCTAGTCTGGCTAATCAATGGAGTATTGATCGACGACAGCTCTTAGGGGCTTAGACTAACGCGATAAGACGAATATAAAAAAGCAAGGGCTAAGGCTGTGATTGGTTAGCTGGACGTGCGTACGTGCATATATAAAATCAACTGATGCAAGTACCAATCAAAAATGTTAGCGAAAAACAAGCCAGTAAAGCCCAGTGTTAGGGAGCCTCAGCAACGATGACAACAACGTCCACTAGAACGGCAAAAAAGCAATTTATTGGCAAAACAATCATTTTGTACGTGCATCACGCTTTTTTGTACATTTCTTTGTCGTCGCTGCAAGACTATGACGTGAAAATGCCTAAATTCACGTTTCGAGACTAGACGTGAACACAAGACAACGACTTCTTTTTTCTTTTCCTAGTGAACTTCGATCGCTCTTGCTTCGATACAATCTTTTAGAATTCAACTCCACAAAAAATTTTTAACATTTGACGAATTGAACAAGATGGATTAAGCGCGATAACTTTGAAGCAGCGTGACGTCACTTTTTAAGTGACGTTTTCGTAGCCGTCGCCGTTGTTGTTGCTTAAGATTCATTATTCATTCAAAATAATTCCTAGTTTAAAAACGTAGCTAAAACATGCTTACCTCCATCGATTAGATCGACGTTAAATTTATCTTCGATAGTGCACGTTTAGGGTTGTTCACCTCCGCAAATATTCTCCAAATAGCAGATGTCGCCCTTCGAGTTGTCTTCTTGCTGTTCTTGTCATGTTTTTAGCTATTATTTCTCCCAGTTCTTACTCTTGGAAAGAGTGAAATGTCCGCCATTTTTGTTTTCAAAACCAAAACAACTCAACCTCTTCTCCAAGTCTTCTCGGTTAACGGTGCATTAACCTACTAGAAGGCTGCACTTTTGACGTCATCAGTTCATTAAACGCAAAATTCTTCCAAATTTGGTCATCAGTAGCTGGTTATGGTGAATTATGCGTGTGCTTTTAGCCAATCAGAATCGGGGAAATATTTTGAATGAATAATAATAAAACAATTATTGAATTCGGCTTTCGTATTATATGAAGAATTATGGAGATCTCCTCGATCTCCATAATTCTTCATAAGATAATCAGCCTCATTCATTAATTGTTAATTAAGGAGCTTAAGTAACGACAACGGAGACTTCAACGAGAACGGCATAAAAGCAATAGGTTTATATTGGCAAAGCAACGGCTGCGGTCACATCTGGGCTACTAACTATAGTTAGGACAGGGATAAATATAGTAATCTGGCCGCTTCTCTTTTCGCTCTAGCCATAGTTAGAAATTTTACGCCTCGGTGATCCGAAACAATACAGACTAACTAGCAGGGTTTGTGGGTTAGGGCCTGTTTACATGGAGGTGGGGGACCCCAGGTAGGTGAGGTAACCCGCTTAGGTGAGGTAAAAAAATAACCCTCCTTTACATGCAATCTTACAACCCCGCCTTACCGGGGTGCACTTTCTCAAGATTATTGAATGGTCGCTAAGCACGTAAACAAGAAAAATGCGGGCAAACACTCACTCTCTTGTTGCTCTTGCTGCAACCCGTCAGTGCAATAGCTTTCTATTGTTAACTCTAATCATAATGCAAAGACACCGCGAAAGTGAATTTTGCGCGAATTTGATGTATCACGAATCCGACCCCGGCCAGGCGGGTTACCCCACCTTGAAACGTTTACATGACAAATTGTGACCCCGGCTGAGAGGGTAACCCGGTCTGGTAGACCGGGCTACCCGCCTTGGCGGGTCACCCCACCTATCATGTAAACGTGATCAAATGAAAATGAGAGATTATATGGACAGGCGGGTTACCCCACGTAAGCGGGTTACCTCACCTACCTGGGGTCCCCCACCTCCATGTAAACAGGCCCTTAGTCTTTAGTTTACGAACAAACAACCAATCAGAATGTGACACTTCTTTTTGCACGTGCGAGATGAGCATATATAAATAAATATGCAAAATAAAAACCAAGCATGACGCGAGAGAGAAATCAAAAATAAAAAATTTACATGGGCTAATGTTAACTGTGTGGTATGACCGCAATGTCGTCCGAAAGCACTAACCACAGTTAGGTATGACATCGCGCAACTTAAGCTAAACTTTACTTACGTCGTATATGTGACCGCAGCCAACAACTCTGCACGCTTTTCTGTACATTTCTTTGCCGTCACTGCACGACTACGAAGTGAAAATGCCAAATTTCACGTTTTGTGGAGGACATAAACACAAGGCAACGACATTCTTTTTCTCTTCCTGAAATTCGATACAATCTTTTAGAATTCATCTCCAGAAAAAATTGCCAACATTTGACGAACTGAATGAGATAGATTAAGCGCGATAAAGTTTGAAGCAGCGCGACTTCCTTTTTAAGTGACGTTTTCGTAGCCGTCGTCGTCGTCGCAGTGTTCCATTATCCTTCGACAAATACGACAAGGGCCTTTTGATTTCGGATGTTGTTTCTCCTGTATTTTGAGGCGCATAAACTCAGAGAGAGGACCAAGGACCAGTATTAAAGAAAATGATTTAGGACGCTAGTGAGATCGAACCATAACGAGAAACGATATAACATCAAGGGGCTATTGTAAGCCTTATTTTGATAAGATGTAGCTTATAACTAGTAGATAGTTTTGTGAAGTAGATATTAAGTGTGGGAATTTTCCAGAGATCCTGCTACGTTTTTTTATTACGTTTAACCCTTCGGTTTGATCTTAAGACGGCAAGAGAAATACAGTTTTGAGGTGAGTTAAGAAAGGCGTCAAACTGCTACTATTCATGGATGCCCTTAGCGTGTTTACCTGGACCGAAAGAGGCGTTGACACTTCTAGACATTCAAGTTGATGCTGTTTACGTTTTTGTTTTTTGAGTATTTAGATGGAGTTGTTAAATGAGAATTTTGTGAACTTGAATAAACTCTAGAGAGTGTGCTCATCGTAGTTTTTAGATACCCGTAGCAATAAAGGGGTTCACTTTAAATGCATACACCCTTCACTTTAAAAATAATAATAATAATAATAATAATAATAATAATATTAATAAATAATAATAATAACAACAATCGCTTTACCTTCGGACAACTCGAACCTTGTTATACGAAGGTTTTCATAAAAAAATAAATACAAAAGTGACCCAGATCTAGTCTAAAGAATTTTCCGTGGCAGAGTCAAAATAACGGACTAACGCTTTTAGCATATCATGATTCCATAGACTTGTTTGGATAGTTTTAAAAGACTATACCCACCTTAGTTTGTAAAATAGTTCAACTTAATGATGAATCACTCATCTGTAAATGGTCTTCCTTTGATCATAACATTACTAATGATTTCTACTGCAGTATCAATCATCCTTTATACCAACCGAAAAGGTTGGACTGACGTAATAGAGATTTAAAAAAACGCGTTCACTCGAATAAGCGCCGCGCCTAAATTAGTCCCACTCGGCATCGCTTCTATTTGCGTGCACATTTCACGGTACAATGTAATTTTCACTCTTACTAAATGAACACTGCATTGCTGCTCGGAGGACGCGGTGCTTATTCGGGGGAAGACAACTTCTTAACTTTAAAAAAAGGTCATTATTTATTAATGGTGGTTGTTTTTTACTAACTCGTACGTCGGCATTTGTAAGACGCCCTTACTAAATAATCAAATGGAAAATAATCTTGTGGCTTAATATTCGCAGTGACAACAATGTTATACAAGGACAAATAGAATACTTGTCTTTCTTAGATTCAAATAAGCTGTGAATTGAAATCTTGTCCTTAGCATTGAACCCACACTCTTCAACAGTGATTTTAAAATATCCGCCGAATCCTCTTCTGATTGTAGAAATCAGTAAACCGTAATTTTTAGGGAGTTATCATAACTCCAAAAATGGAGTAAAAATTTTAGGTACAGGATAACCCCTTTTTTGGGGTTATTTTAACTCCTAATTTAACTCCGAATTTGGGGTCATTTTTACTCCTGAAAAAGAGTTCTTTTTACTCCCAGTCTTGGAGTTAAAATTACTCCGAAATGGGGTTACTTGTACTCCTTACAGGGGTTGTTTTCACTCTTTTTGGAGTGAATTTAACTCTGAAAGTGGAGTAAAAATTTTAGGTACAGGATAACTCCTTTTTTGGGGTTATTTTAACTCCTCAAAATCTGTGGTCACTTTTACTCCTGAAAAAGAGTTCTTTAAACTCCTTTTTGGAGTTAAAATAACTCCACGAAAAATAACTCCACTGTAAGGAGTTAAATTAGCCCCACTAGAGGAGTTATTATAACTCCCTGAAAATTACAGTGTAACAGTCAAAATAATCAAACTATCAGTAAAGGAAAGTCAATCTCGAAATTGAGAGGTCTGCGATAAGCTTTTCTATTTATGTAATACATTGTAATGGACACAAATACAATTGAAGGAATATGGAGTTTCAGAAATTAAATACGTTTATTTATTTTCCTATTCAGAATTGATTTAAAGTAATGTTTAATAAACGAGCAGCAGTGTTTTATCGGGTTTAAAATCACGAGCCGAAGGAGTTATTGGGGCTCTATAATATGTAATTCTTGCCTAAATAAACAGGTTTAACACCCAAAAAGATATTTAGATCGGATCTCTCTCGTTTTTTAATCAAACGGGACCTGTCACTTTACACTAAAAACAACTCAATCACATTGAGAAATACCAACTTAATAATGAACCAAAACATAGCTACCAATAGTCTCTGTTTTTTCAATGCACTACATTACATTCGGTCCAAGCCTCGCGAAAGGCTTACAATAATTTGCTATACTGTAAATATATATGATTTCTCTCGACTGATATCCAGTAGGGTTTTAACTTATATTACAGTTATTTGTCAGGTTCCGATGGGTTTGGCTAAGACTTGAACGTAACTTGTCCTCGAGGGAAGGGGCAATAAAAAATCAGGAAAGAACCTAATCTTGCTCATAATAAAGCCGTAGAATTCTCGTCGTTTAAAGATAGTTGCTGTATCAATATGACACGCCGACTTACTACGTGTTGAGTCCCCTTTGCCTTGATTCAAAGAAGACTGAGGCAAGCGTTTAAGACTAGGGGGATTTTCAATATGTGAAAAGATTATAGCCTGTCATTGTCGGACTAGAGAGCTCGCGCCGTGTATCGGCAGCCTTACCTTCAATGGTTGTGGTCGCACTAGAAACAGTTAACACCCGACCACGGCTACTTGTATTTTCAACGCGTCTTCACATGGAATTGAGCCAAACACTCCAAAAATATGCTTTCAACAGATCTTATTCCACTAGTGATTAATTAGTTTTAAAAAATCTATGCACACTTTAAAACTCAATTTGAGTGGACCCGTTAGAAATCTACAGCAATCACGGCACTTTGGACAAAAATGTCTGCAACGCTACAAAGCAAAACACAATTCACCGGCGATATCTCTTAGCACATGGCCCAGGTTCAATATGGTAGTTCAAACCTTCTTGATCATAAAGGTCATCCGAAAAGATATCTCCGTCATTGACCATACCATCAAACCAATCAAAATTATCCTTCACTGCACGGCTAAGATTGCCTTCCTCCAAAGAATTGGATTCAGGATTCGTTCGCTTTCTTGTTTCGCTTGTGTTTACAAATTTGACGTCTTTTAACGTTTCTGTTTTAAACTCCGAATTATTATTATTAGAATAAGGAGAACCTTGTTCAGCCACTGTTTCACACAGCGATGTGGACTGGTCTCCTGTGCAATCCTCCACAAAGGACTCAACAAATGAAAACAATGTTTGCTGCTTTGGATCCTAGGAAAAGAAACAAAAAAGCCGTCTCAAACAGACATTTATGACGTATTACAATTCTCTGATTAAATCACTTTCTATCTTGCTAGCAGAGGTTTCGTTCCGGCATGGTTTTTAGCATTTACGGAGTCATTCGCGTCGCTTGCTTTTGCGTAGAAACAACAAGCAAACTACGCGAATGAGAGCGACGCAAACGTCTCCGCACAAGCTAAGAGCCATACCGGACACATTGACAAAACTGTTCTCGCTAAAAGGCATTAGAACGCGCACCTTGAAGAAAGTACAGTCGGCTTCCAACACATCCTCGGAAAGTCCCGCTTTGCCCAAAACCTCCAGCTTATTTTGGATTAATGGCCTGAAAAACAGCGGCAAAAGTTTTGGTGAAAAAAAAAATGTTTTCTCAAAGAAATGATAACCTTTCTTCTTAATCTATTTATCCTGCAACTAAAATCATAACAATTAATTTTGCTATCATTTGCCAAAATATAGAAAGCATAAAGGGCAATTCGCAACTTTAGAAACGAGAAGGCAGCTAAAGCGTGTCCCGCAATTGATTCTGGGATTGTTACTGGGGACACGCCACTCAGCTATTAGGGAGCTTAAGCAAAGACGTTTTTGAGCGACGCACGTCAACCGGAAGTGAGGCCTTCTCCCTTTTTATATGCCTGGACACTACCAAATTTGTATTGCTGAGTTTCTTTTCTCCTATAACGACGATTTACCCAAGGGTTTCAACCAAACCACAGCCCAATGCTGCAAAAAGTCCACTTCCGGTTGACGTCCGTCGCTCAAAAACGCTGTTGCTTAAGCTCCCTATTGGCTAATTTTTTCCTGTCCCTCGTGGTAACAATCCCGGAGGTCTTAGCGAAAGTAAACTCGGTCCAGTTCCCTTTTCGTTTCTGAAGTGGCGAATAAGGCACAAACTTCACATAAAATCCGCAGAAACATGTCTGGCATCTTACCACAGGTAGTCATCTGCAGTCTTTCTAGCCACAAGGTAATGAATGTTGACAGCGTTCTTCTGTCCTATTCTGTACACGCGGTCTTCGGCCTGTACAAGAGCCTAGCAAAACAACAGTTGCTAGTCAAGTGTCAAATAAAACACTTTAAGATTGTTATCTCATATGTGAACTTATCTGACACCCAATTATAAGGTCAGTACCTGCCAATTAGAAGATAGTTTTCAATGTTCTATGAGAAGATAATGCATTTTTGAGTTCTATAAAAACCGCCACTTGTACTCAGGGATGCACAAGCCGAACACGACTATAGCGTGGCTGACGCAAAAAGAGGCGAAAAAAGGGAGCGAAAGTTAAAAGCGTTGAGGATTCGTTGTAGTTAATTTTTTTGTCTCAGGTAATTTTTATTTTTCCCGTTGTTTTAACTTCATTAGCATACATTACTAAACCCAGAAACAAAAATTACCCGAGATAAAAAAAAAAAAACTACAACATTGATCTTTTTAAACATCGTGCCCGTAGGGAACTTTGGGCATCTATACTTTGTCTTGTGTAATGTTTTTAGGGTCAAATTTAGTTTAGTTCATCTTAATAATTTTTAGTACTTTTTTAAAAGTCTTGTGATTAGGTTTTTTTCTGGTGATTGTAAATTAACATTGAAAATCCTAATTTGGGACATGTTAATAAACTCATTACATTGTATTGTACCACTAGAAAGCGAAATCAACTAAACATTTTTATTAGAAAAATAACAGCTTCTTTTTGCCGTATGCACTAACTTGTAAGAAAGAATTAGAATGGGACATTCATTTAACCAGTTACCCTTGTCCATACAGGGGGTCGATTTTGAACATATGCATAAAACCTAATTACAATGTAAACTTTATCAATCTTGTTAGCCAAGTTAAGGGTGATTTGTGGGGTGGATGTTTAGTTTTCTGAGCCAAACGTTTTCATTACTTTTACTATCTTTAATGCGTCTAACTCCGATATTGAGTGTTCAATTGAAGAAACTTAAATCTCGGCTCACACACGAAGGTCGTTTGCAAGAATTTATTCAGGTCATGCCAATATTCTCAGGCTAAAATAAGCACACAAGAGAGAATGAGCTAGATCATTCTCTCTTGAAGCACAACGAAAGGAGTGATAAAAGTGAGCACACTTTAAGTTTGTAGGATGTCCGGTTGTGTTGTGCCAGTGGACCAAACTGGTTTCAATATCGAGTTCTTATCGGGATACAACTTCCCCTCTCGGAGAGATTTCTACAAAGCGCACGCAATTCACGAACGCGGGCAATAACTTTTTCAGTGAGAACCATTTAAGCAGAGCTAAATCAGCTAGTCAATACCCCGAATTATCATCATAGTCTGAGAAAACAGCCGACATTTTACGACGCCACTACTGGTTTGCCCGCAAAATGACGCCTGAGAAACAAGCGCAGAAATTCCATACTGATGACGTGTCACTAATCAGATCTGGGTGATGTATCTGATTGGTTGAAGTAAATTTTCCACGCGGCATGACCAATCAGAAGCGTCATCAGTATGGAATTTCTGTAGTCGTTCCTCAGAAGCCATTTCGCGGGGAAACCAGTATCAACGTCATCCGGTCGGTTTCTGAAATATCCGTATTTCCTCTAAATACCTTAATAATAGTCTTAGAGTTTACAATCACCGGCAGGACAAATCCTTTTAAACGGTTGTTAACTACGAGGGCTTTGAAAAAAAAAAAAAAAACGTTACGGGCGCCACACAGGGTGATAATATTACAGCCGTCTAGGGATAAATCAGACGATCGATTAAGTGCGCCTTAACTATAGCTAACAGCTAACTTCTGAACTCACCCCAGGATTCCAGAAGAGCTCTGCAAACACGACCGCGTTTGCCTCGGTAAGAGTCAGCCCTGAGGACATAGAATGTTCATAATTATGTACAATATCTTATTGCATTGGTTACTGTACAAAAAATGCACCAAACGAGTACAAATATCCCACGACATTTTTTACAGTTGGTTATTTGTATAAAAGCAAACCTGACTGTTTGACAGTGGTTTTTGGAAATTTTGAAGAAGTAAATGAAATGATTTTTTTCCCAATTTTAACTTAGAATTTGAAAACTGGTTTGCTAGTTGTAAAGAAATTGCTGTATGCTGAAAGGCGCAAAGTAAAGGAGATATTTCAGACGCTGACGGTCTGAGCATGCGCGGGATGTTGCTAGGATACAGCTGGCTCAAGAATGACCATCGGTTTATCAATAAAAGGATGCTCGCACTCGAAAAACCCAGTTTGACGAGAGAAAAGAAGAATGACTGGTCCAGAGATTTGGGCTGCGGCGACCTCAAAGGTTTGACGTGAATAAGAGAGGGCCTCTTTTCACTCCTCACTCAAGAAGACAAAGGAGGCTCCACTCGCATGGTGCCGCCAGTTTGGTTACAGTGAAAGAACAAGTGAAAAGTACTTTCATACCTGTATTAGCAGCAGTAATAGAGAGAACAGCTACCAGACAGTCCTTATCCTGTTGGAATTGATCACACAGATTCTGTCGAACCCCTGCTGGTGTGCTGCCGTCAATACGAATGTAACTGTACTTCTAAGAAAGTGAAGGAAAATATAAACAAATATTAGAGCTGAAGTCCCTTTTTCCTCAGTTTGCAAGATTGGTGTGAAAAGAAAGTCAACTAATCTTGAAAGGGTACACAACTTACTTTTTGTTTAAGGCAACTGCAAATGGCGTCTAACATGCTTTTGTGATGGGCAAACACAAGAAACTTGCGGCCGCTTTCAAGCAGGTCTAAAATGTACTCCCTGGTAAATAAAAGTAAATAAACTACTGTACATTAATGGCAAGCATTCTTTGTATACCAATTTATTTTTGTAACAGCAAAGTACAGTAAGCGAAATTTGAAAAAAAGAAACTGAAATTTTAACATCCGTTACAGGTCTCCCGCTCTGCAGTCAAGTGCTCTACTGACTGAGCTAGTAAACCGCGGCAGGATTACATGTAGCTCAGTCGGTAGAGCGCTTGACCGCAGAGCGGGAGGTCGTGGGTTCGATTCCCTGGGACGGACCAATACTCAGGGTCTTAAAATAACTGAGAAATGAAGGTACTTCCTTTGCCCTGCAAACGGCTAGACCTTTGCGTGGCACGGATGAGCACGTAAAAAGGCAGTCCGGTGTCCAGTAGGAGACGTAAAAAAATAGAGTCCCCAATTAGTACAGTAGTTCTTGTTCGTGCTGAATGCATTGACTCTCAAATAGAGTGCATTTTTTTTTCATTTAATTAGGTTATTTTCAGTAATGCTAGTACCATTACCATAAAAATTAGTATTGATTTTAAACAGCATCGAGTTGTTGAGGTTCGAAACGTAACGGATGTCAAAGTTCATTCACCCCTTTTTTAGTATAACTTGTATACATGAAGAGTTTGCGAAAAGTCAGTGCCTCGCAGTAGTAGCGCTGATCCATCAAAGTACAGGGGTTGATTTGCAGTCAGCCACCTTAAACCGACAATGAAAATGAACATGTGCGCATGCTGACAGCCTTTTCTCACCTGACCGCTGGCATCTTGCAGGCAGACGTTTCAAAGAAGTAATTAAGAAGGGCACCGTGTTGCTCTTTTTGCTGTGAGAAAGTAAAAAAACACTGAGAGAAACGAATTCTTAAACAATTAACTTACACGCAAATAACAATAACTGATAGAATATAGCTTACTCAATCAGATATATACAATAATTGTCAAAACTTTCATTACCGGGCGAGTAGGTAGGGTAATGTTTGTCTCAAGGGTTTGTCAAGTCAATTGTTATTTTTTCTGGCTACCATTGTTTGATACTGGTAGCCACAAAAAATACTGGTATACTTAGCTTTACTTAGCTTTCTCTTGCTGTCTTTCTTTTTCCACTAGCTTTTTTCCCTTTTTGTGTGTGTGTGCTTTGTGTAGCTGTGTGTGGTGTGTGGTACCTGACCCTTTAATATGATCATTTATTAATAACCTAAGTAAGGTTGCCCTATCTTTTAAACCCTCAATGGTCATTATGGGCAGCTTGTACTCTCTCCAAATCAGTTTTATCTATTTATTTTTGTATCATGTAAATCAATGTAGGGTACAAATAAAGTTGTTGTTGTTGTTGTCATATGGGTCCTCACATAGAAATTCGTTGTTCTTTCAAAAAGTTTACTAAAAAGAGGATTTATTTTACTTTGTCTTTTAGTTCGATTATAAGATGATAAAATGATTAACAGTCATATTAAGAAATTACCTTAGCTTTTGACACTTCTTTTGCAGCTCTTTCCAAAGTTTTAGTTTTAATAAGGGAAGGGTCAAGCTGGACCTACAGAACAAAAATTGGAAATGCTTCAAACAAAACTTCATTCACAAAAACACTGATAAAATGATCTTGAATATGACATACCACTTGTCGTCGCTTGGAAGGAAGTTGAGACAGGACATCTTTCTTCAATCGCCTGTAGTGTAAATAAATTAGACGCAACTGTAAGGTTAGGCTATGAGGTTGAAAATCGTAACTAGGCTGGTTCACTAATATTTGAGTTTATTAACTAACGTAGTTCTGGAGCATTAGTCCTCTCCAGTCCTCTCTCACCATACTGCCACTTTGCCAGGCAAATACTTGACTGATTTCAGTTTTTTAATCCACCGTATAACTAGCACTATAGTTCAACAGTAATCCACATTTCTCTCTTTCTATTGCAGACAACTCTCGCCTTGCGGACACCCCGCTGTAACGGACACGCCAATAATACGGTCAGCAGCTAAATTCCAGGAAAAACTAAATTACAAACATTTGACTGAAATAAACTCCCGCTATTACGGACTCTCGCTAATGAAGACACTAACTCGAGGTCCCTACATGCAATGTCCGCTATAAAGGAAGTTGACTGTAATTGCTTCTGCACTGAATAACTGACATTTGTACCACCTTAGTGGCTGACCTCTGGTTGATTGACAGACTAAAAGGTTCAAGTGGGAAATTGCCGGCTGATTGGTAGGTCGACTGAAAATTAACTCGATTCAGTTTGATTGATTGATTGATTGGTCGATCAGCTGACTGATTCACCCATGGTCAACAGCATACAAAGAAAGATTTTTCACCTTATCATTACTTTTTCCTCAAGTAAAAGCTGAAGTTCTTGCATGTTAGATGCCCCTGAAAAGTCCCAGCCGAATCGATTCTGAAACAAAAAAAACGAAAAAGCAAGGACCATGATCGTGAAATGGCTTTACAATCTTCTGTCATTAGCTTTATACTTTGCAAACATTGGCAAGTCAACTAAAATAGGTAATTGAGCATGTTGCAAGCGTGGGACAAAGAAAAAAATCCTGATTCCTCGACAGGATTCGAACCTATGATCGCCTGAACACCGAGCGGGCGTCCTATCCGATGAGCTATGGAGAGATCTGATCACGCTCGTAACATGCTGATTATCACATATTCATTTTCCGAGCTTAAAATTCACCATCTTTTTTTTTCAACGAGTAAGTCGCTTTTCTTCTTTGCTGCTTTCTAATAGTAGATCATTGTTCTTTGTTCATGTGGTCAACCGCAGCAGGATTAGCTCAGTCGGTACAGCGCTTGACTGCAGAGCGGAAGATCGGATAATCAGGTTCCTAAAATAACTGAGAAATGAAGGTACTTCCAGCAAGACATTCACGTGACTCGGATGACCACGTCAAATGGCAGTCCCGTCTCCAGTAAAAGACTCAAAATAGTCAGAATAGTGTCCTCTGTTGGTACTTTTCTTTTGGTTTATAAAACAATAACTGCTAAATCACCCGCTCCAGTCCATGAGCTCGGAAAGATGACAATGAATGCTGTTCGCATAGCGTTCTCTAAAAAACCGAAAAACTTCTTGCTACCTGTTGTCCAGCACAGTATCGGATTCCAAAGAGATGAAAGGTGGGGAACAACCCTGGCTGAATGGCACAGATCTGCGTGTAAAGCTCCAAGGGCCTGGAGAGAGCTGGGGTCCCGGATAACAAAATCACACGGGTGGCTGCCTGTAAACAATACGCAATATAGTTCATCTGAAAAGAATGTACTAAGTAAAGAGAGAAAAATACGTCGAGAAAACTCGACAAACTTAATAGTTAAAGAAAAAGCATTAATTAATAAAATCGAAAGTGAGACTCAAAAACGTATCAACTGTTTTCCTACAGTCCTTGTTACCTTCGACTTCGCCTCTTGTGGAAGCCTTTACCAGAAAAGCTTTGTATTTACCTACTCTTTGTAGTGTCAATTAAAACTCAAGAAGGAGCAGAGAAGACAGGACTGGGACTGAGCTCAGAGAGATACTGTAAAATTTATCACATTGCTGTTCACATTCTTCGTAGCTTTATCTCGCAGTTGTGCTGGGGCGGTAAAGATAAAATTTACAGAAAAGGGTGATGCCCGATTGCTCCCTAAATCTATTGCTAATTTGTCGACAACTACGACAGCAACGGCAGCGGAAACAAAGATAAACAAGCAAATATTCGCGCAGTTTTAAACTTCATCACGATATTAAATTTTTCAGTTTTTTTAGGAGCTGAATTCTTAGGGACCGAGTTCAAGTTTATAAAGAGAAAGAAAAATGCGGAGTTGCGTTGTTGCGTCCTCCAAAACATCGCATTAGGAAGTTTCACGTCAATGCTGTCCTTCAGTGGCGGCAAAGAAATGTGCCAAAATCAACGTTCCACGTTCATTGTTAAACCTATTGCTTCTCTAACGTTCGTGGTGCCATGGGTGGTACACTGCTTGCGATTGTTTCCTCTTTTAAAGTGCCTCGCTCTACTGAATAAACGCAAGAAAAAAAAAAAAGAACGAGAAGGAATGCTACGAGGGAATGGCCTTTCAATCCATCGCGTTAAACCGCCTTGTTTTGCAGACGGCTTGGTGGGATAAGTAAACTGTAACGCTGCACCAATGTCATAAATGGTCTAAACATCAAGTGGTACGACTTGCACGAGTCGCGCAACTGGTGAAATTTTGGCCTTTAGGATGCTTTTAGAACGAGGAATATTCAGGGTGTATACGTTCTTATTCACACGCTTACTGGAACTTTTTGTATGATCGTAATATTTTAAGCCATTTTGCAGTTTCATGCACCGAATGTTTGTCGTGTATGATGCTTATAGAACGAGGAATACTCATGGTATATAAAATTATGCGTTCCCGGGGACGCGCTATTTCACCAGTTGCACGACTCGTACCACTCGAAAGCTCTCCTTTTGACAACTCTGCTCTAAATTTTTAAGTGTCACTAGTGAGATGCTATTTCGCCAGTTGGACGACTCGTGCGAGTCGTACCACTCGAAAGGCCCCCTCTCGACAACTTTGCTCACAAATTCTAAGTGTCTCCAAATTTTTCACCAGTTGTCACTAGTGAGATAACTCCGCTCTCAATTTCGTGTCTCTAGTTGGACGACTCGTACAAGTCGTATCACTCAGAGAGGCCCCCTCTCGACAACTTTGCTCACAAATTCTAAGTGTCTCTAATAAGATGCTATTTCACCAGTTGCACGACTCCCACAAGACATACAAGTCGTACCACTCGGAGAGGCCCCCTCTCGACAATTTTGCTCACACATTCTAAGTGTCTCCAATGAGATGCTATTTCACCAGTTGTACTTGTACGACTCGTACGAGTCGCACCACTTGACAGGACCCTCTCTCTACACTTGGCTAATAAGATGCAGCCAAGCAATGTACTTCCTTTTGTTTCACTCAAACAAACCAGTGGTGAGTATTGGACATGTGTGTCACATCAAACCGTTGGTTACAGCCAGCATTGTTGTCCTCCAGTCGCAGTTAATATTGTCAAAAATGTTCAGCCCATTCGCCCTAATTAGCGTCCCTGCTACCGCTTGTGACGTCGTCAGTTTTAACAGTCAAGTCCTTGTCAGCTAACTTGTTCCTGACTTGTGTAGGGTGAAGAGATCTTTTAAACCATACCAGAATGAGCAAGATTCAGTCAAGGAGGCCGGAGAGGCCTCTAGTACAAAAACGGCCAATTGTGATAGCAAATATATGCAAAACGATCACATACCTTAAGTAAAGGCAGGGCAGCCTTAGTTCTCGAGGCTTTGTAGCTCTTGATGAAATGACACTCATCCTATCAGAGGACATAAATAAAGTTACAACACTTAGCAGTACTAAACCAAGCAACACATCGAATTAAAGAATTCAATACAGAAAATTAAAAAAAAATTCAATATAGAAATAAAGTATAATATAACCCACATTTTCACTGACGTTAAACAAGAGAAATTTGAAAATGGTAAGTTTGCATATATACTGCCATAATACCGTAAATCCTCTTTTAAGCCCGGCGGGGCTTATTTCAAACACATTTGAGGGGAGGCTTAATAGAGACGGGGGGTTTATTCAATTTGGCCCAGATGATGGTATCAGTTTTCCATAAAGAACTAGAATGCAAGATGGAAAAGCTCAAGTACAAGAAGCTGGAGGTCATGCAGCCGAGGATCAAAAACAAATCAAGCAAATCCAGTTGGTGAACAAACCATTCCAGATCAGTCCGCACCAACTTTTACAGTTGTGATTCATTAATACAGTTTATCATTTACTAGTGAAGAATAATAAGGGTGAGTGGGGAGGGCTTGAAAGAGACAGGGAGCCATTAACTTTCTTCCCCTGAAAAGGGAGGAGGCTTATTAGAGAGGGGGGTGCTTAATAGAGAATTTATGGTAATAAAACTATAACTTACAGCTATAATGACCCTGAACTGCTTCTTTTTCAAATCCTCTATACATTTACTCAATAGATCATAACTGATGATGTTTACAAGTCCTGCTGTTGGATTATCCTTTCCAGTGAAAACCACGTTGATGTGCTGTGGATCTACAGAGGGGAGCCATTTCATAAAAGCCTACAAAAAGAATATTTTTAACTTTGTAGATGGAACTTCTAAATTTTAATTACTTTGTTCAAAAGCATAGGGTTTTTAAGCAGGGTTTAATGAGTGACAACTTGATCCTCTTCATAGCTTATTACTTCATGCTCATTGGCTGAGGTCATAGAGCTCCTGTCTTTCATACTATTGGTTTTAAATGCAACTATAACAAAAATTAGCAAAAAAATACACATTTTGAGGTCATATAGATTTAGATGTCACACTGTCTCAATAGTTCTTTGTAATGTTCCAAATCAAATTGAGTCTGATCAACACTCGGTTGTCAAATTACAGTAGGCTTTCTCTTGATTGAGTAAAGCCCATTTCATAAATTAAACAGTCCAGTTTTCCATTACATCAATATTTCAAGATGGAGAAGTTGTTGGTGAACAGAATAGAAGACTCTGCTCGTAGGGAGGAGAGGTCAAGAGTAGTGATTCCACGGTATTCTTTCATGTTCCTACAGTAGTGGAGTTTCTATGTTCTTCAATCCATTGATGGAGACGAAAAATAGTGAAGCTGGCATTATGTGTCATAGAAATCAGTTTGGACCTTTGGAGAATGGCTTGATGGCTAATTAACTAGTTGCTAGAAGGCTAAAAAGCTAAGCTAGGCAAGAAGTAATAAATAGCATGTATACTGCTCACGTACCCCTCCCCTAAGCCAAAATTTGCCTTAAGTGAGAAGTAAGTGTTAATGTTGGCTTAGGGGAGGGGTAGTTGGGCAGTTTCCCAGAAACGTATGATGATCTGTAAAGCACATGTAGGTAATTTAATGACAGACGCTATTGCAAATAAGAAAACCTACATTTTACTCTTAACTAGTAATGTTACCACAGTGATGTAAATTTAACCAAAGCAATAGTCACATTAATTTTTAATTTGAGCCCACAATAAGTTACCAACCTGCTGCCAAGTTATTCTGAGAGAGGATGGTGTAATAATAAGGAGTGGCCACTCTGGACGATAGTAACAAGCAACACAGATAGCTTGAATGGTCTTCCCCAGGCCCATGTCATCAGCTATCAACACTCGGCCATCATGACGAATGCTGAAACTGTTAAACAGTGGAACAAGCAATAAGTTGTATTTTATTGGCATAGGCTCAAAGGTTATACTAAAAGACTTATGGCATATGTGTATTAAAATAATTTTATGCTGCCAGAGGATGAAAACAATGTATATCATTCTGTGGTGAATAAAGCTCTATCCAGTGAATAGTGCAAATTTTCCCCAATACTTACATACTGGATAGTGGATTACCCTGTGGATAGAGCTATCAAACATTTGAACAACTGGGGCCAAGTGTATATAAACTAGTAATAAGCGATGGTTACAAGGTGTGGGTTAGATTAAGGCTTCTGATCAAAGGTCGAATCGCTCTTGCTTTAAAGCTGGTGCGTTGGGTAAGTTTCACATGATAGGAAAGGTCAAAATGTGCATGATCTGCATTCCATTCATTCAAGTCCAAACAAATACTGGTTACATATTATATTTGGTGCTAAGCATCTGTAATAGTCACTACAACTAAAAGAACTTTTGAAATAATTTTTGCATAGTAATCGAACACAGAGTCCCTTAGGTTGTAGCTTGTATTGCACTGAGAGAATTTTAATTCAAAATAGTCCAAAGCTAACCCATGTAGGTATTTGAATACCATGATGATTTCCTTTTGTGTGTTTCCTTGGCTGTCAATATTTTTCCACCCCAAAATTTCTAACAACTGGCCAGCATCAGCATCATAATTTGAGAATGTGAAAACGTGGGCTGCTTAAGTTATTCTGCAATTTTTGCAGCTTATCTTGTAAAGTTACCCCACTCATTTTCAAACACTACTACAGTAGACAAAGTAAGGTTAAATTAAAACTTAGTCAAATAAAATGCAGTGTTGCCTGGGGAACCAGTTGTCTAACATGTTTTCTGATTCTAGAGGCAAACTTTTCGGTCAGTTTTTTGATGTGGTAATTCCAGAACATAAGCATAAGCAGCACCCACCTGACTCCTTCTTGCTGAAATGGCATCAGTGCCTGAACAAGCTTGTGATCAACTGAGTTCAGATTAATGTTAGTGGTTGACAATTCTTGTAAAGTGCCTGGTGTGGTTTTCAGAAATGTTGATGTCACAGCCTTAGGTAGTCCTTCTACAATGACATGGGCAGGTAATGATTGTACTGCTTTCACTGCAAGAGAGTTATACGATTGTACAACAAGTTGAAGTGGAATACTTTATGTAAATTATGTAAGGACCAACCAGGGCTGTCATTAAGGCCCAAGGCCAGGAATTTGCCCCGCTGCTAAGAGCTTGACCCTCCCCTATTTTCAAGGGAAACAAAATGAAAGTAGAATCAAAAGAATTTCCTAGCTCAATTTCCTGTCTACTTATTGCATATATTCGGGAACTCAAAATTTTAGTGACAGCCTTGCTGTACATGTAGATCCAAGAGTGTTTTTACCTTTCAAATGGATGAACATAAAATTATTATATCTTTGATTAATGAAGTGATATGGCTGGATTTTAAACAAAGATGATGAGTAAGAGGTCCAGGAAAATTCATTAAAAAGATAAATATTGAATAAATGATAAATAAATAATTCAATAAAAGACAAATTTATTTTACAAGGGTGAACTACATGTACTGTACACTGACTAAAAGTTCCATCCTTCTTTTTCACAAATTATAACCTCTAAACAATAGCTTGGTTCTATTGACTATTAAATTGAATATTTATTAAGTATTACCTAAAATAACATTGCAATAAAACTTACTGAGCCTGTTATAGTCAGTCAAAGCAAAGTTCCACTGGCATGTTTTTTTGTCTATAAGAACAAGAAAATGTGAAAAAAAATGTGGTGGAGAAACACCTATTAACTACCTACAGTTAACCTAGTCTTGAACAAGGGTGGGGGAGGCGGGTAAATGTTATTCAGGGGAATTAAAATTTATTCTTATTACATGAAGCCAGAAGTAGTCATGCAGGCCTACAAGCCCCCTTTTTGACTGAAGTGAGCAGCACTCTGCAAACTGCAGTGTTAAAACTTGTTGACTATCATACGCCTTTTGTCTGGCTAATGTAGGCTTCTTCAGGGAGTTTTACATTCCAGCACAAAACATCTATAAGTAAGCCATAGCCGATGACTATTAATAATGATGGTTTCAAACACTGAAGATCTGGCCAGATCTATGAAAGGGAACAGGGGCAGGTGAGAAATTTTCTCATTTGAATACATTTTTCTGATATGAATAGTGCCCAAAGGGAAGGGCCCTTATTTTAAAGAAAGGGCACTAATAATTATTAATGCGTGGGCTCTTACATGGGGATGTACAGTAAACCAATTAAATGAATCTTACCATAACTTCTGCTTGGAATTGTCTTAAAAATCCCAATAACCTGAGGCTGATATGGTACAACAACAGCAAACCTCTCTCTGCTCATTAATACACAGTTTCCTTTCACTTCTTTCTCTGTATTTTTGACATTCACACTGGAAACAACACCGGATTTTAGGGATCCTGAATTGCTATTTGCGAATCCTGAAGAGCTTACTGTCGATGGTTTGGTACCAGGGTTGGTACTTTCGAATTTCCTTTTAGATGAGGATGAGTCCGGAATGTTTTGAGGACGATAAAATTGGGACACAGTGCTTTGAAAAGAGCGCGAAGATCTTTCATTATTTGAGGGCTTGACCATTGCCTTCGATGCACCCACTAAACTATTTTGCGATTCTCCACTAAAGCCAGTTGAAGAACGTATTGTATTACCGTTCATTGAAAGGTTCGCATTAGAAGCTTGACCGACCGATGGTGTCACGTTTAAACTGTGTTTGACTCCTTCAGATTTCGCCGACATCTGCCTTTGTGGCACGTACGAGTTAGGTTTGTTTGAAGAAAGCAATGCATTTTCATCTCTTGGAGGTTGAGCAGCGTTACTGGAGACAAAATTGCCTCTGTTGATATTAAGTTTAAATGTTGTTGACGCAGTATTCGTCGACCAAGCCGTCTGCTCTTGTTGTTGGCGTAAACGAGCAGCTCGTTTCTCAAGAGCTTTTCGACGATTTTCTTCAATCCTCCTTCGCTGCTCGTCTGTTAATTGTCCAGACGACATTGATATAATCCGAAGCAATCGAAGCAGTCTAACACAATAAAATGAATAGCAAACTTACTGCTCTCTGTTTATCTCGTTTCTTCGAAATCGCCGCCATGATGAAATATACCGCTGACCACCAAAATCGGTGTTTTATACCCAGCAAGCACTGGGGGATTGGACAAGAAAATTACACCACGTTGTGAAATCATTTCTGGAGTTGTTTGTAAGCGGTTTACTGCGTTCTAAAACCTTCATAAATCGCACTCTTGGATTCAGGCTAAGGGAAAGTATTGTAGAGATAGGATTCTGCCTTTTGGATTCCAAACACCTCTAAAATGCCCATGTTTACTTGCATAACGTGTCGTGTATCTTTCGCTGATAGCGATATTCAACGTCGTCACTATAAAACTGACTGGCATCGTTATAACCTCAAGAGAAAAGTCGCAGAAATGCCGCCAGTTACTGCTGAAGTATTTCAGCAAAAGGTCCTTGCGCAGAAAGCGGAGGTCGAAGCGCAACAACAGAGCAAAACAAAGTCTCTGCACTGTCAATTGTGCAACAAGACCTTCTCTTCTGAGAATGCTTTCAGTAACCACTTGAGCTCGAAAAAACACAAAGATGTGGAAGCCAACAAAGCTAACAAAGCTAAGAAACAGGAAAGTTTGATCACAGAGAGCCAGTTTAGTAACAACTTCAAAAGAAAGGACAGTAAAGAAACTGACCCAGAGAACACTGAATCTGAAAATGCTGAGTCATTATCCCACAATGGTGATGATGATGACGACGAAGACGATGACATTGAAGAAGATACCCTGGAAGTTACAGACTGTCTTTTCTGTCCACATCACAGTGTTAGCTTAGAAGAGAATCTGAAGCACATGACGAGGTCACATAGCTTCTTCATTCCAGATCTAGAATATGTTGTGGACTTGAAAGGCCTTGTAACGTATCTATGTGAAAAGGTTGGAATGGGAAATATGTGCCTTTACTGCAACGACAAAGGGAAGAGTTTTTTCTCATTAGAAGCTGTTCAAAGCCACATGGTTGACAAAGGCCACACTAAAATGAACTATGAAGGAGATGCAGTTCTGGAATATGCTGATTTCTATGATTTTAGCAGTAGCTACCCTGATTATAATCCTGATGAAGAGAATGAGGGCGATGAAATTCAAGGAAGAGAGAGCACCTTAGCAGTCAATGAGCAAACACTGGAGCTGTGTCTGCCATCAGGGGCCAAAATTGGCCATCGCAATATGCGTCACATCTACAAACAGAATTTGCCTCCAGAGAGAAGTCATCATTCCAAGGTGATTCAAAGTATCATGGCTGATTATAAAGCCCTAGGTTGGCATGGCACCATTGCAAGTGCTGCACGACAGAAAGTTAAAGATGTCAGGTTACGGAACATTCAGCAAGCGAAAAGAAATGTGGACATCTCTGTTAAGGCTAACAGAATGCAAAAACATTTTAGACCTCAAGTTGTTTTCTAAATAATTAACAACTTGATTTCATATTGTGAAGTTCAAAATATGGTAATGCTAGAAAATCAGAAGCTGCACAGTGCACAGGTTTTCCACCAAGTTTCTTGCCTTTGTAGGTTGCTTCATAGTCATTTGGCAAGAAATCGTTTGTAGTGAATGTTTGTTATAAAAGGAGAGTTCTCATATATTCGAACAAATGAGTGCACTAGTTTGATTTATTAGGCTGATTTAGCAACAGAACAGGAATGTCAGTTGATGATGGTGTGCGCAAATCAAACTACTGGCTTGACCAATGGCTTAGTGGCAAACTGGGCACCAGAAGAAGAGTTCAGTCCTTTTCGCGTGCTTTTCTGCCATCAAAAAATGGTGTTCCCATTCTGTTGCTAAATCAGCCTATTAGTGCTGGGTGGTAGTAGATTGAATATAAGTGGTCCAAGATAACAGAGTGGAAGTGACCAGACCTAGATCTTAGAGTAACCCCTTTCTTAAGGCATATCTAAAATAAATCATAATTCAAAGGTGGTTTCTTTTTGTTAATCCTTACAAACATTGTACTTCCTAACATTATGCAGAGTTAGCTCATTCAATGTTCTTGACCCTCAGGATTGGACCAACACCCATGGAATAACTAAGAAAAATAATTAATGATGATATTCCCTCTGCCTTGAAAATGGCTATATTTTCACTAACCTGTGAACAGGCCTTTGGTCACTGTTTTTTTTCCCCAAACAGAGAGCCTGTTCACAGGCTACATTTTCACTTGACTTGGATGATGACAATCAATTAAATTTTTAAAAAATTACAGAATCCAGTAGGCTCAATGACATCATTTGACTACAATTACCAGAATTTATTTAGTTTTAGCCTTTTTATTTGAACTTTTCAGGGGTTGAGGTTAAAAAAAAAATGATAGCCCTAATTTCCACAAATGACAGATTAAAGGAATCTTGTAGTTATAGTAAAATGACTTCATTGGGCAATTATTGAAGAGATTGCAATAATATTAATATTGTCCTGTTGAGCTTAACACTCATATCAAGTCATTGATAATTCATCAAGAGGAAAAAAATCACTGCCATATAGGAGGTAAGGAAGTCGCATCACTGTTCCCCCCCAAATTTCGCCTTCTCATTAAGTTTGAACTGCAGCTCATCCTCTGTGTAAGAACCTGTTAAACTCGCGGGTGACATTAAACAAAAGAAAACAAAGAGGTCAACACAACAGAACCTAGGAAAAGAAAAGGTGCAAAACAAAGAAAAAGTTCACAGGTTCTTACACCGAAGTAAACCCTGAATTGATGCGCTGGTGTCTGAGCAAAAATTAAATAGTGAGTGACCTACTTTTATGGCAACCAACCAACATCAGTCAACTTCTTCAAGACGTTGGGGTTACAGATCAATGAGTTTAAAAAAATGGCATCTGGAGTTGAAGAGTTGAGTTGGTTCGGGTAACTTGCTTCAGTTAATTGATTGACTGAGTTTTAATTTCTCCAGCATCTAGAAAAGTGATTTCAAATGCTTAACAAAGTGTTTCATCTTATGTGCCGACACTAGAAGAAATTATGGGTGTGCTTGTTTTTTCAACCCACTTCTCAGTGTTTGGATATTGGATCAAAAAACTGCCTTTCATTTTGAATATATTTCATCCAACTCAAATCATTAAGTTGTTATAAGTATGGTCAGTTACTGTGCAAGCTTTCATTTCAATATAATTCAACTAAAATGTCAATGTAAGTCAAGCCAATTTTTTTCTTTTAATAAGCATAGCATTTTTATTTTGCATAAACAGGTATATGTATTGTAGGGACATCAGTTTTTTTACAGCCATGATAACATATTATTCGGCCATTTCAATTTTTTTCATGGCTATTTCATGTAAAGGTATCAAAATGTCCTCCATCCCCGATGCTTAATGGCAGTCCTGTTTTCATGTTCGTCTAGCCTCTCCTCTTTTTGACTTTCTACCCAAACTCTGCCATCTGAATGCCTGGAAAAGGCTAACATTATATTCCTTTGGGTTATGTGAGGAGACCATGTGGATAAAATGAGGCCTACAGTCATCTCAGACAAGGACAAAAAACCTGTCATGAAGAGAACTTTTCAACTGACCCCAAGAAGGCCTAGAGACTAATGTAAAAACAGACATTTTTCATTCATTGACAGCCCTTCACCAGGGCAATCTGGTCATGTAGAACCAAACAGCTTGCACGTGGTACTTGGGTATTGTTCAATATTATCAAAAACTCGCACAACGTCCACATGATCTTCAAGAGTATCTATTAGTTTCTCTGCTTGTTGTAAAGGTTCCTCTGACAGAGAAACAAGCGTTCGTGGAATATACTCAAGTTCAGAAGAAAGAATCTTCTTTGGAAACTTTTCTGATAAGTCATCATGTACTTTCTTCGTATCCTCAATAGCACATATGAACTGAAATTTAATAAATAAATAAAAATTTAGCATTTCATTTGAGAACGCTTCTGTTGCAGTCTTACATTAATTTTTCTTTCTACTTAAGGTTTAGATATTTTTGGAAGTTTTGTAAGCCCAACTTTTTGCAGAAGACTATAATAGACAGAACGATAGCACCCAAGAATCGACAGGGAGTGCTGTAAGGGGGTATGATGAGCAATACCTTTAACCCTAGGGTCCAGGAACTCTAGGCAAGTAGGTGGATACTGCTCAGTGTTTTTTATTCAAAATTATACCTTTATAATCTTTGCTTCATTTTGTGACTCACAGAAGAACAGATTCTCTGCCCCACTTTCTATAGCTACCTCTTCAGCCTGCAGAGAGAAGACCATTCATTATTTTACCAGTAACTGAAATTGCACAAAGGTTTCATCTCTAGTAAAAAAATATTAAATCGAGAATATTAATCGAGACTATAACATCTACCTACTTATGGTTGTCATGGAAACATCACAGCCTTAACTTTCAAAAATAAATGTCAGTAATAATAGACCATTTTCACTATGACATCATTAGGGCACTTAAACAACAACGATGACAAGAGCAATGAAATTGTCACTAAAAAATGAATTTGCATCATTTCAAAATTTATAATTATTGCATCTATTTGGACCTGCTGGAGTTGAATTCTTAAGATTTATCCTGGTTCAAAAAAGGGGAAGGAAAATTCATCATTGTATGCTCATGTCCTCTATAAAATGTTGCATTAAGAGGCTTCACGTCATAGTCATGCAGTGGACGTCTAAGAAATGTACTAAAAGGTGTGTTGCACATGCAGAGCTGTTTTGTTCATACAACAAAAAAAATATAATAGGAATTTTTGACACTGTTGTTGTCTTCATTGTTATGGTTGGTTAAGCTCCCCATTAAAATGCTACTAGAATGCTTGTCTTGGTAACCAAACAAAGAATCTTGATCCTTATTATGTCACCCACACAACAAAGTTTCCTAAAAAGTTAGGTGGTTCAATAACTCACTTTTTCGACAGAGTCATCATCTGGATACTCTGATAAGTTCTGTTTATCCTCTGTATAAAGAAAGTCTTCAACACTTATAACTCCTGTTCAAATTTAAAAAGAAAATGAAAACTCTGAGCAGTAACTTGAAACCTTAATTTTTCTAAAAAATAAATTGCTCGTTTGCTTGTGATGTCAACAAACTTGAAAAAAAAGAAGATATCAGTCCTCCTGATTGTCATCAGTAACAAATTTTATAATCCTAAAACTTAGTGGCAAATGTTAGAATTTTTATTGATGGAGTTAATAAAATAAAGCGAAAATTAAAAATATATCACTTACCTGTAGAGTTTACATAAATGTATTGAGGTTAAATTTCATCGTTCGGTAAATTTTATTTTCTTTGTTTTTGGGTATGGTACTGTATGTTGACGGCTTTGAAACAAAGGAAATAAAATTTAAACCAAGGATGAAATTGAACCAAGACATATTATACACGCCCATGAAATATTTAAAACATTTAAATAATTATAAATTATCATTACCTTTGTAATCATACTGAAAAGTGACTGATCCACCATCCTTGAAAATGCCTCTAAAACATATATAGAATAATGTAATAAGAAGATGTAATCCCAGGAGTCTGGTTTCTCTGACCTGTGCTGCAGGCTAGGCCTGAGCGGGTAGCATTAGGTTGTTAAAGCCTGATGTGACAGCAGAGCTGCGCACTTTCACATTCTGACATCTGTTCTCACCCCTCTAGTTTGTCTCTTGTCTCCAGTCTCTAGTTTTTAATTTGTCCTCCATAAATTACCAGTTGTTTTCTTGTTATTTCCAAAACTGAGGTCTATCATGATTGTCTAACTTGAATGTTTTTTAACGTTACTTATAAATATCCCCATATATTAACCCTTTATAAAGTACCAAGCGTGAACAACATCAATTTTTTTTTTCTGACAATATCGATACAAAAACAAGAGAGAAAGGTAATATGAGATTAAAAAAATGATCACCTAAAGGGAAAAGCTTTATTCTTTAAAGGAATTTCCCTAACTAATTCTGTACAGAGATCAATCTGCAGGAGAATTTAGATGGGGATACTAAGACTGAAAGGGTTAATATAGTCCATTGATTTTTGTTAAGTGCAAATTGTTTGAGGGGTTTGACCTATTATTTCATATTATTATCATCTGCTCACACAGGGAATATCTGCACTCCTTATGGTGGATCCAGGGCATGGTCAGCAGGTCTGGACCATCCTAAAAGAACCCATCTGACCAGAAACATTGAAACTGAATTTGGTAACCCAAAGGGTCACACCTTTACTGGAAAATAAGGAGTAAATGCATGCCAGAAAGGGAAGAAATGATTTCGTATAGACCTTAAACAAGTTTGGACCTTTCCAATAAAAAATTCCTGGCTCCACTCCTGACAACCCCTGGTTGTGTAGAAGCTCTAAAGACACTTACCCATTTTTGCGAAGAATAGTATTCATTTCATTCTTTGTTTTAACTTTGTTGCTTGTAAGTATCTGGACAAGCAAACCACAGCCACCAGGACCCTTTATCTCCAACAAGGATGCTTCATAAGGATTATCTTTAGTCTTAGTAAAGAGGACATGAAATCATTTATTTATTTACAAGCATTAGGTATTGGGAGTTAAGAAAGGAACTCAAGGGAAAAAAAGAAGGAGAAGGAATAACTATCCTGTACAATATACACTTGTCTCAAGTCAAAGATGTAAAAGGCCACCTTAGGCTGCGGGTGATACTCCCTATAAATGGCCTCTACAGGGAGGTCTTGCCTGAAAGGGTACCTTTTTTAGGCTTCAGGTATATAAATGGGTAGGGATATAACTAGCTGAAGTATATGAAAGGGTAGTGGAATCGGCCATTTCAGTCACTGTACAAAGGCCTGCAAGAGCTAACAAATGTATTTTCTGGCTGTGAAAAAGTTGAAAAAATGTTGGGTTTTGTGATTTACTCATATTTCAAAAAATAGTGCATTTTCAGCAGTTAAAAGAGATGCAATGGTATGTAAAAGGGGTACCATTTTTAAATGGAAGGTGCACAAAAGGGGTACCTTTTCTATCAAAAACGGTATATAAAAGGGTAAGGGGCTGGACCTCGCAATTATGGAGCCTCCCAGTATAAGACTTTGTTGAGTACCCCCCAACTCCTCCCCGGGGCCTCAGGTAGTGTACCGTGAGGTACGCATGATTTGAGCTTTATATTCATACAGAGCTCAAAATTTACTACACATTAAGATTTTGGACTGTCTGAGGGGAAATATTACCAGCTGATGTTAACTGAGGGTCTTTTCTTTCTAACAGAAAATAATCCATGGGGACAAAGGCGAAAGAGAAAGGAGAAAATGAAAAAAAGTGGTAGTATGAATGTAGGTGCAATCCCAAAACACTTAACACTAAGGAAATATTTCCAAATTTTAACATTTTTTAATTTTTCAGCATATTTTTTAACATAAATTATTTTTAACATAAAAATGACAAGTAAAGACAAATGATAAATGAAAGCAGCAGAACAAGTACCAGTACTTCCTGAAGAAGTTTTAAGTTTAAACTTACCCCAGTCCCAGATTTGATTGCATTTTCAATCTTTTCTTTTGGCATGCTTATGGTTCTTGCTTTTTCAATAAGACCTTCCAAGCGACTATTAAACTTAACATCTGGCCCTGATTCTAAAAAAGAAAAGTCAACTAGTAGTTGAGTAGAAAATATCTTCAAAGTAATTCAAATACAGTCAAAACTCCTGTAAGCAACCAGCCAAAATGTAAAGATGTACTTGTATGGTGCTTATATCACAGGTCAGAATTAAATTTAGGTTAAAATTTTTTAACCTAGGTTGTTGTCTATTTCCTTAACCTGAATTTAATTTTGACCTGTAACACTCATATATTCTAATATGTTAATCACGCACCTGTCTCTAATGATACTATAACTTAATTTATAGAAATTTGTACATCACACAAGAAGGCAGTGGGCTGCTCACACCTGTGCATGGACTGATACAATAACATTTATATGATTATTATATGTACGTGCTATTAACCTCCAGCAAAAAAAAGGGGAAAAAAACTTGTGTCATTCTATATATTTCCCAGGACAGCAAAGGTCACACCAAGTGTTAAGGTGGCTCGACTGGATTTTTTGGGGTTGATACCTCCCAACTTTGAGCATTAACTACGTCTGCATGAGTAAAGATATGGAAAAAAGGTTACCACAACTGTATTATATAAAGATGAAAATTTCTTATGATCTGGGTTTTATTGCAATCGGAGTCGCCATGGCAACGTAATGACGCCATTACGTTTTTCATTTATCTTTGTGTTTCTCTCTTCCAGGAGTTTTTTGAAGAAATCGCTGAAGGGAGTATGTACCTGCTATAATTGCCTCCATTATGGCGTAGTTTGAACTAATTCTATGAGAGCGTTTTCGAAATATTTCGAAATGTAGTTTTAAGAATGATAAAAGAGTGAAATAGCATGCTAGCCACACAATTTGCTAATATTTTAAGAAAATGGTAAGCTTTGGGGACGAGGCTTCATCTCATAGTGATTTGATTCCATTGAAAACTGCATACAAAAAACGAGGGGAATTGCTCTGGGCGATCGCGAGTAAGAAGAATTTTATTAACTTGCATTCAGCTGCTTTTGATAGAGTTTTTGGACGTAATTTGGTCCATGACTAAAAATTTCGCATTTTTTCAAAAACCGCTCGATAAATTTTTTTATAAATTCGACAATCCCGAGATCAATTGTCAAGAAATATTCCCTGCAAGTTTCAAGAACATTAAAAATAGAGAAGGCTTTTAAATAGGGCCTCAAATATAACCAATTTTCCCCCCAGATTTTGTGTTGACAACTAAGTGTCCTCATTATTCACTGGCATTGTTTTCAAGTTTCATATGCACGTGCACAACTAGCAAAAGATATAAATTTGCATCAAAAAAAACTCTCGATTACTTTCCGAAGAAATATCCTGAATATGCTAACAATTGGCTTGTCGTCACAGATAGCAGTGAGAGCCGAAACGGTGAAAGTCACGGCTCATTGTGTAGGATGGAATACTTAATTATCTTACTCGGGTTATAACATCACAGAAACTCTCACAAAGAGTTGCTCTGATCTTTTAATGTATCATTAATCTCTTTATCCGGTAATTAGCATATCCCGGAGATTTAACCGAGGGTCCTTTTTGATGCAAATTTATATCTTTTGCTAGTTGTGCACGTGCATATGAAACTTGAAAACAATGCCAGTGAATAATGAGGACGCTCAGTTGTAAACACAAAATCTGGGGGGAAAATTGGTTATATTTGAGGCCCTATTTAAAAGCCTTCCCTATTTTCAATGTTCTTGAAACTTGCAAGGAATATTTCTTGACGATTGATCGCGGGATTGTCGAATTTATAAAAAAACTTATCGAGCGGTTTTTGAAAAAATGCGAAATTTTTAGTCATGGACCAAATTACGTCCAAAAACTCTATCAAAAGCAGCTGAATGCAAGTTAATAAAATTCTTCTTACTCGCGATCGCCCAGAGCAATTCCCCTCGTTTTTTGTATGCAGTTTTCAATGGAATCAAATCACTATGAGATGAAGCCTGGTTCCCAAAGCTTACCATTTTCTTAAAATATTAGCGAATTGTGTCATGGCGTCATTACGTTGCCATGGCGACTCCGATTGCAATAAAACCCAGATCATAAGAAATTTTCATCTTTATATAATACAGTTGTGGTAACCTTTTTTCCATATCTTTACTCATGCAGACGTAGTTAATGCTCAAAGTTGGGAGGTATCAACCCCAAAAAATCCAGTCGAGCCACCTTAAGATCACTCACCTGCCACCAATGTGGCCAGGTTTGCATCCCAGTGTCGATGCTCAATGTTGGTTCAGTTTGTTGTTGGCTCCTTGCCTGTTCCTCAGGGGGATTTTTCTACGAGACCCCTGATTTTTCCTTCTTCTCAGAATCCAACATATCAAATTTTAAATTTTCAACCAAGAAAGAAAGAGCTTTGTACCACGACACCACCCACCCCTTGGGTGGTGTGATGATAATTGTAAAATCATAATTTAAAACATGATTTACAACAGGGCCCAATAAATATATTCATTTTATTCATTTAATCTAAAATTAATTTCTTTTTTTTTTCTCTTTTGGAAAATTGACCAGATAGACTCTTGAAATATCCTTCTTTTTTTCTTTACAGCCTTTATGAGTCGTAATTAAATTAAAATCAATAGTATTGTCTATAACTATTTATTTCACTTTAAAGTAAGCTTAAATGATAGACTTATCCTTACCCCTAACAGCTGTAATAATCTCCATCGAAAGTTTTCCAAATTCCTTGCTTCGAGCAAAGTCAATGTGTGCCTTCTTGAATTTAATATTTTGCCATTTACTGTGACCCTTATATCTCAAATGCATTTTTGAAACGTTCAGTAACGTACAACGACAGAAACACTCAGAAACACGTGTAGGAAAACAAGTGACAAGAGAACAAGTTTTTCGGGCAAATGTAGCCGCCATTTTGGGTTCTGAAATAGAACAAATGCTTTACTTAGCGGGAGTGGGTAAGTAGAAAAAAAGTAATGTTATCTTTATTTCAATATGTTTCCGAAAACCTGGTCATTTGAAGAAATTATATCTGTTTTATATCTTAAAACTAACTGGGCATTATTTTACACCTTTTACAAGTTAAAATTGAGTTATGAAAACTTTTAAGTATCGGGTACAGTTTTATAGCACGGTACATCCCCTCCCATACTACAATTTGAGCGTGGCTACTAAGTATTTATTCATGACACGTTCATGCAAGAAGAAAGAAACGGTGTAGTTTTCAACGACGAATAACTCCTTTTTATTCAATTTTCTCCCCATAATCTGGACGGAATAGGTAAGAAAACCATGGAGTGGTTTATGGGAAGTATTCCGGAGGCTATAGGGAAATCCAGACAGAGCGGATTACTATTTATTGTTTACATTGAAGGTAAGTCTCACCCAACATGAATGAATGATGGTCATATTGAAGAAGTCGACTTATTTTGGATTACAGCAACCTTATTTTAGCTTAAATTGTATTTTGTATTTTTTTTCTCTTTTTTGATGGTAATTATACTCAGTGATTCACAAAGCAACTTACCTGAATCATTCATATCTGATTATATAAAAAGTGAAAATACTATAAGTGAGCTTATTAATAAGTACAATTTGTTGCAATAGAGAGGACAAGTGTTACGTTACCATGGGAGCAAATTAAAGGGAGCTTAAGCAAAACTTGAACAGCCAAAAAGCAATAGGTTTAGATTAGCAAAACAACAACTTTGCACATACATGGCGCTTTAATGTACATTTCTTTGCTGTCGTTGCACAACTGTAACATGAAACTTCCTAATTTCACATGCCCGCCCAACTAAGGTGGATGTGGTCTTAAGCAACACATAGCACAAGGAGCTCTGGATTTTCCTGCATGGAAATCTTTGTCTGTAGGAACGGGTATGTGTGCAAGGACCTGCACTAATGTTGTGGTAAAAATGTTCAGAGATGCCAACCTCTGAGATCTAAAACCTGGAGACCTTGACCTGTTTCTTTGGTAGTTAACAACAAACCCCCCACTTACAAAACATACAAAACCCTTAACTCTTCCAAGATTTCCATGGTTTTTTCCTTAAGTCCTTGAAAACGCTCCAAAATGGCTTTAATTTCTTCCATTTCCTGTTGACTTTTTATTTCACTGCCAGCAATGCAGGTGGCTAATTTGTTCAGTTATCTTGTTATCGTCGCTTTCAACTTATGTGTTCCAGGTTTCAAGTTTTTTGCTTTCATTAAAGAGTCCCCAGCTGAATTTCCTTAATCTGGCATCTTTACACTGATTTTTCACTCAAAATCCTGATCCAAAGATGACTTAAAAACAGTTTTTCCCTCTAAAATTCCAGCTTCTAAACTGATCATTTCATTGCAGGTGACAATGAAGCAACGCAAAAAATGAATTCAGTATGGTCTGATCCTAAGGTGTGTAAAACAAATCTCTTTTTTAACCACTTCTTCTTTGGTTCCAGCCTCCTACTCCCAGCAGGTAGCATGTATGCTACCCAAACCTCCTAGGTCCCACCAGTGGGGGGTGGTAGAATACAAATACATCTGATTTTTTTGTCCTGAAAAATTTAAATACCAACCTACTTAATGGTTGATTCGTAATATTTAAATTCATATGCTTATGCAGAGTCCTGTATACCTGAAATTTTGGCAACAAATTACTGTATACCAGGGCAAAAATGCCGAAGATACTGTAATACCCAAAAAATACATTAATATCCAAACCCTCTGGCATTTCAGATGATAAAAAAAGAATTTCGTGATATAATAATTCTGTTATGACATTTGCGTGCTCACAATCTTGGCATGAAGATTCCTGCTAACGGCAATAGTTGATGAACCATACATGAAAAAGTTGAAAGTGCCTGTGGCAGCTAAGATATTCTAAAATCTTGTGTCATGTTTTTTTTAAAAAATTGTGACACATGCAGATTTGTAGTTGCTACACAAATGAGCATGACTGCTACATTTAGCCTAGTGAAAACAGCCAAATTTTCACTGGTTTCCCTGCAAAATGACATCTGTTGAAGGAATGCAGAATTTCCATACTGATGACATATCATAGTTCTGGCTAGTGCTTCTGGTTAGTTGAAGCAATTTTCAACCAATTAGAAACACTACTCAGTTCTTGATATTAGCACATCATCAGTGTGGAATTTCTGGGTTCATTCCTCAGATATCACTTTGCAGGGAAAATAGTGGCCTGGTGGCATGGCGAAAAGTCAGCTGTTTTCTCAGGCTTTGTTACTGTGGGAATGTTTAGTTTAGAGAAGGACATGGTTTTTGATGGACATTTGGTAAGTTGTCACTCATCACATTAACAGAAACCTAGGGTCCCAGGGTTGTCACTAAGATTTCAAGTTGCCGGGTAAATACAACAAGTAGGCGGGGAATCAAACGGCTAGGGATTTCTTTTGGTTCTATTTTTCCTCTATTTTCCAATAAAAGTAGCCGAGGGCCACTCTATTAGTAGCCGGGGAAAATCCCCGGCCCCCGGCTCTTAATGACAACCCTGCTAGGGTCCTTTATAATATTGGGTGCTTTCATTTCGGACATAGAATACTTGAAATAATGAGGATGTGTTCAAGTTGAGTGAGTGAGTGATTGTGTTGGTGGGTGAGTTAGTAGGTGGGTGGGTGAGTGAGGAAGTGATTGGATGGGTGAGTGAGTGAGTGACACATTTGTATATTTTAGTGTCTATTAAGAACATAGTGGATATGCTATGAGTATCCATGCGTTAATAATGGCGCAATTATTCCTGTCCACTTCCTTTACATGTGTCACAATGCTTTGAGGAATGATGCATACTGCATTTCCTCAAGTAATAGCCGTCCCTCAATTAATCGTCTCCCTCAAATGATCGCCCCCCTTTGATGGAAATATTTAAAATAATCGCCTCCCTCGAATAATCGCCTCCACCCCACTCCTGTCACCAGTTTTCTCTTTCTTTTATTCCCTCCCTGTGAAGTTAAAGTGGAATGAGATCCGGCAAAACTGATCAGTGACTATTCAAGCTCTGAAAACTAATCAAGGAACCAAAATTGGAACACTTAAGAAACACTTAAGAAATGTTCAGTTTATTTGATGTGATAATTTTTTGATTCAATGGGATAATAAAACACAATATTTAGGGCACGGCTGCCAGTGAGCAATCTTTGAAATAATTGCCTACCTTGAATAATCGCCTTGCCTCAAATTATCGCCCCCTTTTGATGCGAAAAAATTAATAATCGCCCCCGGCTATTATTCGAGGAAATATAGTAAAAGAATAGGAACTTTTTCATAGAGATAAGTGGCTAGGTATTCTGAAGTTAAACCCAATAACATACTTTACCAACAAAAAATTAGCTTCTTTGAGCTGCTTACAGTGGATGTAACAGGCTGTTATGTTTTCTTTAATTATTTAGGTTGCTGGGACATTATCCAAAGATAAATGTGTAGCTATTAAACTGGATCATAAAAGGTGAGAAGAAACAATATAAATTCTTCACCGGCAAGAAGAGCTAAATTTAGTTTTCAACCTTTTAAGTAACAACCACCAAGTAATATATACATGTCTCCTGTATTTAAAGCGATTTAATAACACTGGACTGCAAACATGGCTTCTACCACACATTTGTCATGTATTATTTTATTACTATTAGAACTATACTATTCAAATTTTCATTTTGTTTATTTTGTTGCTTCTTTTAATCCAATTTAGTGAGGACTGCAATCAGTTTTCTAAGCTCTGTATCCTTTTACATTTACACTTCTCAGTAGAATGTGAACTGCTGAATGTATGTAAATAAATACATTTTCTCCCTGGTTCTACATGTGATTTGCAGGTGCAAATGTGTTTACAGACCTTATGTCACATCTGAATTCCTGCAAAGCAAATCCTCTACCTTTTATGGCATGTAACATAAGTTACAGGACACAGCATTCTGCTCAGATTAATGATTACTGTTATTGTTGCTCATCTCTATTTTCCAGAAGCCACAACCCAAACTTTACAATAGTTTAAACAGCTGATATTGTCTACCACAACAAGACAAACTCTCGCCTAAAATGAAAAACTTGTTGAGTTTTCACCTGTCACTTTTTAGCTGTCTCTATAATATAGACACTTTGGTTATATACAAATCCTTAACAGCGTTAAAAGACCCCATTGTATGTATCCCTGTCACATACTTTATTGGTGAAAATGGTTTACCTTTAGAAGTTATCGGTGGAGACCTCCCAGTTGATGACTTTGTTTCCAGAGCTAACAAGGCATTAGAGGTACTACATGTAACAGTACATAGCAATACAAACACAGTTCAAAACAGCCTTGCATGTTTGCAAATTATACAGTAAAGTCAGGCTTGGCAGTGTGATTGTCAAACTTTAAAATAATACTGCTTGTTTCTGTCATAAATTCATGGCTGCTGCTTCCTCTGTTAGCAAGAGAAATTATGTTTTCATTTTTATCATATTTGTGTGTGGTTATTATATAGTGATTTTTATATTACTTTTTATAAAGAAAAATTAGTATTGCATTATAAGTTATGAGCTTTCAAGAAAGCTATAACTTTGACGTATATAACATTCTCTATTGAATGCCATTTTAGACTCACCAAAAGTCAAGACCAATTAATAATAGCACAATAACACCCACATCCACCAATAGCGTACTTCAATCAAGTCCAGAAGTTTCTAGTTCAAACCAACATTTTGAGGACCAAGAACAGCCCACAAGACAAGAGACATCAAGTGAAGTACCAGCTGTTCCAGGACCATCACAGGTGAATATTAATGCTATTTTTTCTGTCTTATTGCAATTGCTGTTGGAATTGTAACTTTTTAAGTACTTTGTTTTGTTTAGTGGGTAGCTACAAATGACATTGACCTATGGTAGGGTGGGCTCCTTATAAAGCTTATCTGAAGACTCATTCACTTTTGTTTGCTAACCCTAAACCCTAATGACTAAACTTTAATGTAAACTTATGCTACGTTGTGTGGATGTCATAAGATGTCTGACCTCCTTGAGGTTGATGTAACTATTTCTTCCCTTTTTTATTAAAACTGTCCTTAATAAAAATGAAACTTTACACAACACTCTTGGCTAATCACTTTTATTGGGTTTTTCTTTCAAGTCTTACAGGAAATTTGGTTGAGGTTTTCTTGATTTGTTTGGAGTTCTATGCAGATGTTTTAGAAATAACGGTGTGTTTTTTTCCCAGGAACCCACTAACAGCAGCAACCAGGAGAAGTCCTTAAATGAAAGAGTTCAAAGGTTGGATATTTAACAGCTAGACATTACATTATACATGCAGGCGCAGATCCATGTCTGTTTCCACCATTTTAAGAGAATCAATCAGATTTTTCATAAAAAAAATTTTTAATGAAAAAACTTTCGCAAGTTAAAATCCAGCCAATATCCTGTCTGAATGACTCAGAAACCCAGGAAAGGTTACTTTAGGGAGTTAAAATCCAAAAATTTCATGGAGGTGCATGCCCCCAGACCCCTCTAGAAGCTTCTGCCCTAGGCACTCGTCTAGGAGATCAGTTGGTATTAATTTTGTCCTAGATTCACGTCTGATGTGTTTACAGTATGTAGAACAACTGTGTGAACAATAGCTCTAAGATCCTTTCTAAGACCCTCCACTCCTCTGGAAATTCAACTTGCTCCTTCCCCTGGAATCCAATCTCTTCTGTGTAGAAAGGGGGCGGGTATGGATATTTTCAGGAACTTCACAAAATGTTTAATATCTTAACAAGCTATTAATGTGATTTTTTAAATTTCAATGTGACTAAATTATATCTTGTGAGCAGAAGCTGCTTTTTTATGATATATACCGTATTCTGGAATTCATGCAGTAGCCTCTGCCGACAACCATACCATGTTTTATTGTGTAGAAGCAAGTTTCTTGAGGGTACTATGGTGCTTTTTCATCAAGCGAGCATTAAGTCCGAAATAAACGCAATCCTGTGTTGTTGATTTTCTCTTTTCTGTTTACCTGTTTAGAGCAAAAGATCTTATTGAAAGAAGAAGACAGGAAAAAGAAGAGCAAGAAAATCAAGTAAGTTTAGAGGCTACCAGATCCACAAAATTAGCTTGGAAAGTGCCCTTGTGGTTTATTAAATAAGTGAGAAGAAAGGTATGCTACATGTCAACATCCAAATTGCTCCCTTTGCATTGTTATCCACACTATTATTAACTAATAGCGTTAGTTAGTTTCTTATTTTTTCTTAGGACGTGTACACTTGCTGGAGTTTTGACCTAAGTGTGGAAAGACAAATGACCAAGTCAAATATGAATGGTATTATCCCTACACATGGCCAAATGACAAACTGCCCTCTATAAAACGCTCCTTTTCCCGGGCCAAATGGCAAAGTGCGGGCTGTAAATGGAATTTGCAGCCCCCAACGTGATTTCATGTTAAACAATCTTTCCTTATGAAATAATTTGTGCAATTTGGCCTTGTGTATTGATGATAATGATAATCACGTGACTTTTGTCGGGCACATAGTTTATTTGTGTCCCTCGTAGCATCATTTGCACCCTCACTCTGCTCGGGCGCAAGTGAGCTCTCTGGCCACAAATAAACTACTGTATATGCCCCCCAAAAGTCATGTGATTGTCTTATAACAGTTGAGCTTCCATCAAGCGACCATCCCCTATTAAGAGACCAGTAACTAAAGTCCCTTAATAATGGCAGAAAAGACTAGCGTAGTCAATTAAACCTCTATCAACAAGAGTTCTCCTATTCTTGTCACCTCTATTAAGCAGCCATCAAGCTCTTGGTACACTTAATTTGGCTCTATTTTAAATGTATGTTGGAAAATACAGACTGAGATGGGTGACGACTGATTATGGACCAGTAAAGCTGCCCCCAAAAATTGCGTTGGTTTGTTTCAAACTCAGGTGATGTTACTGCTAACGATCATGCTAATTTATGGCAAACCTCTGTTGAAGGACCACTTGCTGTCACCTCAAGCAGAGCTTAATTTTTTGAATAACTAACCTTTGCATTAGTGGGCATAACTTTTACTAACCAAATTATAAAGTTTATTAGCCAAGAATTTGTTCTTGAAATAACAAGACTTTCACTATTGAAAGTAGTGCTAAGAAATGGGACAGACTATTGTGTGGATGGATTGGTTCAAATTACATGATGATCTGCAAAACAAAATATCTAGAAGATTTAATACTCATTTACATTTTCCTTTCAATTATGTTACGCAAGGGCAGGGAATTCACCATAAACACTGCAAATCGTTGTTTGTTTAGACTCATCGAACTGCGGCCAGGTGAATGCCTTTTTCAAGTCTTTGTGGAAAGTTCTTTCTTTGGCTTCTTAACGGAGGTTCAACTGTACTTATTAAACAAAACTCCCTGTAGTTTGGGATATATTGTAAGTGAACATTTTTTAATATCTTATTTACCAGCTAAGGAAATTCTTATTTCAGGAGGCTAAAAAGAAGGAAAGTGACCGACGAAATCTTGGACAAGAGTTGGCAAAAGCCAAGCGTGAACGTGAGGAGAGGCAAGCCCAAGATATTGTTAATCAAATTAAGGAGGACAGAGCTAAGGAGCGTGCACATAGGGAAGCTGTGCGACAACAGATTGCTCGAGACAGAGCTGAGAGGGAGGCAAGGAGGCAGAATGAGCTGCAAGAAAGACAGCGCTTAACTCAAGCTGCTGCTACTGCTTCAGGTCCTTCACCTGTCTCCTCAGGAGGCAGTGACAGGTAAAACAACGCTGATTGGCTTATACGAAAATCATGTTTAGGAACTGAGCGGTTAAGAATTAAATGGAAGGAGATCCTTGCAGTTATAGACGCAACTTTTGCAGTTGCGAAAAGAAAGCCTGAAACAAATTCAAAACTCGGACGGGATTCGAACCCTTGACTTCTGCGATAGTATACTAGTGCAGCGCTCTACCAGTTGAGCTAACCAGCCAACTGGGAACAGGTTAGTTAATATGCCAACTGATTGGCTAGTTAATCCAGTGCATCGAGGCTTCTCTTATTGACTGATGACAGACTGTTTTTACATTTACTTACTCATGTGGCCTTGTTTTATCACAGAGAAACAGTGAAGTTTATGATGCATTTACTAGATAAACCATGAATGCTCATTTATTTTCGTTCAAAGTAACTTTTTTTCTGTTTCATGATATTTATAATAATATTATACATGGCTGAAAGATGTCCTCCAAAAGTGGAAAAAATGTGTTTAACTTTTCCAAATAATTCGCGATAAAGTTATGAATAAAAATGGGCTTTGAGTTGCCGATTGATTGATTTAATGACCGATAAACTGGTTGGTTAGTTTAGATTATCACGGACTTATTGCTGTATCTGTTGCAGCACTTCTGCTCGCCTCCAATTTCGTCTTCCAGACGGCAGCTCCGTTACAAACACCTTCCCAGCTGATACTCCCCTGCAGACAGTGCAGCAGTTTATTATCAATGTAAGTTGTTTTGCGTTGCTACTTTAACCTGATGCCCTAAAGTTCGCATTTTTCATGTTTTAATTCTTTAATGCAGTGGTACCCACTCTACGGATACCCGGCGCTTAATACGGACACTCGTATTTAACGGACAGTTCCGTTAAAAGCTCATATCTGTTTTCAAAAATAACCTGCTTCATACGGACAACGGACATTTTACTGTGTCCCGAGTAACAAACTCCCTTAAATCGTCAACCCCGTTATACGGGCACTCTCTATCTGTGCACTCTTTATGACTGAATATCTTACCTGTGAAAAGCTACCAGAAACTCCGTGAATGAACTTTCAAAGGTTCTCTCTAAAATTTAGTCAAACTAGTTGAGTCGCATACTAAAAGCATCAGTAAAAAGTCACACATTCCGTTGTAGTATCAAAACTAAAAACTGGATGTGATTTTAGTCCGCGACTATGATGAGTGATCGTGAAGTTTCTTTCGGAAGAACTTGTCACAATTTCAGTTAAGAAATTAAACAACATTGTCTTGTAAAAATGCCTGGTTTGGGGACTGTTTACATGGAGGTGGGGGACCCCAGATAGGTGAGCTAACATGCGGCGGGTCACCCCACCTATCATGTACACGTGATCAAGTAAAATGAGAGATTATATGGACAGGCGGGTTACCCCACCTAAGCAGGTTACCTCATCTACCTGAAGTCCACCACTGCCATGCATACAGGGCCTTAGTCTTTATATATATAAAACATGTATCCTTGACCTTTTTTGTGAGAGCCCACTTAATACACACACCCGGATAGTACGGTGGGAACAGGGGCCCATGAGTACTTATGGGCTCCTTGATGTCCGTAGTAGCTGGAGGGTTCCACTGTATCTTAAGGTTGTATTTATTTACGATTAACAAAGATATATGGGACTGTTTGAATGTAGCACCTCGGACCCAGTACAAGTTCCGTGACGCTGTACACAACCTACCCCAGACGAGAACTGACTGAAGGGGATCTAGTCAAGACTTTAGCCGAGTTAGGCTTGGTACCAAGTTCAACTCTTGTCGTTGCCATGGTGAGTTTAGACCATAGTTAAAGGTTACTTAGTGATTGTAGCCAAATGCATGCATTTTATACCAACTTGTTATAGAATTAACTGAAATATATAAAGAGCTACTTCTATAAAGGGTGAAAACTGTTTGTTGCTTTTAGAACAAAAACTATAATTCAAATACCTCTTAGCCGAGTTTGCGGTGCGAGTTGTATGGCATTCTTGATGTGGACCGAAAAAGCGAGGCAAATTATTTTACTACCTTATAAACTTTATTTCTTTTTAGAAAGTACAAAAAAAAGCGCATAGCAAAGGTTTCCAAGTTGTAAACTACATTTTGATGGCGTTTTTTGTCGCGTCGGACGCATTTGTAGGGGCCGAACTGTAGATAAGGGAAAGATCTCTAAGATCTACTGATTGAGTTTACACGTTTTTCTTTTATTAAGTTAGTGACCAGTAATATGGCCAATCGCAGAACGAGGGATAGCTTCACCATGTAATTATTTTAATTATACTACGAATGCGTCTGGCACATAAAGGTAGTTAATTGTAACTCGTATTGTATCACAGTGATTGATTTTTTGGGGAAAATCCACAATAGTGAGCGGCAAATAAGGAAGGTCCTGACCTCCTTTTATTTTATCTTACAGAAAAGCTGCACGGCCATAACACCATCAGGAAGTTCCTCATTCTCGGAACTTTTGATTTGGATCCTTTCGCCTCTGTTTACTCTGATCACTTTGTTGAAGGCCTTTTTCTTGGGAAGTCCAGATCATTCCAGGGGAGCGTACAATCCAACGTCATCGGGCCGTCAAAATACCACTCAACAATCACAGCAGTCCAGGTAAGATCGAGTACTGTTTGTTCTAGGCTAAGAGTAGTAACTTAATTTTCTCAGAAAGGCCTCGTTCACACGGCGCCGGACGAATTTTCGACCCGTTTGAAAGTTCGTGCGCGTAGGTGTTCGGTTTTCACGGAACCTCCTTAACCGTACGAAAATTTAGACTCCTAGCTGTTAAAAAATCCGTCGCGGTCGAAAATTTGACCTGCGCGGTAAGAACACCATAACCGTCTAAAGTTTTGTACGGCAAAGGCACGGTTGCGTGGATGCGTGGTTACTCAGCTGGGAGACGCCATTTTGAAATCACTTAAGTAGCGCTCTGTGTATGGACACGTGGTAAAAACTCTGGCAAAAGTTAAAATTCAGCCTGGTTCGTCAGTTGCGTGTGAACGAATTGCCGTTCAATTTCTCAAGCGGTCGTAAATTCAAACGGTGCCGAATGAACGTAGCCTAAGTGATAGTAGAGCGAGCGAAAGACACGCGCACGCGTGATAACCCACCCTCGAGGACAGTTTCTTTCTTCCTTCTTCGTCTCGCCTCTCCTAGGGGGTGAAGGTTTTCACGAGCTCTCGCGTATTTTACTCGCTTTACTGTCCCTGAGGAAAAATTAGGGACTAGTCCCAGCTTAGTTTGGGGAGTTACTATGACATTCGACATGTTTTGGGTTACAGTTGTTTCTCAGCATTAAGATGGTAGGGTGTTGCACCATTCGTTAGTCTAATCACCGATAGAAAGGATTCGCTTTCTAAGCACGATACTTTGTAACAAATGGATAGGAAACTCACAAACAAATAAAGTGAGCTTGAAAGACTTCGCAGGGAGTTGTTGGGCAGCAATCAAGCGCAGATTTCGGCAGAACTGTTCCGGGTGGGAACAAAAAACCGGGAAACACATTTCCATGTTATATAAATTATGAGCGAACTTGAAGCTTCACTCCCTCCTATGGATCGAACCTTTTAGACTAATATAAATCTTTTCTCCTTTTTGTTTTGCTTCGCAGTTTTGACAACGGTTCTACCGTTCGTCGGAGAGGTCCGGGGGGAGGTGCGACAGTGCGTGAGCAGGGTGGTGTCCACCGTCTTTACAACAGAGATGATGATGACGATGAGAGCAACACGTGGAATGGCAACTCTACTCAGCAGATGTGATTTACAATTCAATTAATCTGACAATATATGAAATAGGATAATTATTTATCAAGCTTTCCATTGCAACTATACAGATGAGCAGTACAGATTATAAATAGTCAATTAGAAAAAAAACTAAACGGGCAGAGTAATTTATAGTCACTTGAAAAAAACAATGGTTTCACTAACTGGCCGTGTTTGAAAAAACGACTCAGTCCCAGCTTATATTCTGAACCGGACAATAGCGAAACGTTATTCGCCATCTCAAGCACTGATCATCACGAGGGAGCTAGCCTGAGAAAACAACCGACATTTGGTGGGGGGAAACCAGTGGTAGAGTTTCCAAATGTCGGGTGTTTTCTCGGGCTACTAGGGAGCTTAAGCAGCGACGACTATGAGGCCAGTGAAAACGTTGATAAAAAAATTGAATTTGCGTCCTTGCAAACGTTATCGCTTCTATTTGGATCCTTTTAATTTGTCAAATGTAGGCAATTTCTCCTGGAGTTGAATTCCACGTGCAGGTACAATTAAACAGGGATCGGTCTACTCAAGGAGCTCGCGTCCCTTCGTGGAAGATATTTTTTGCGATCTCCTTGACTAGTCGAGAGATGATCGCGATTAAAAAATCCTCGTTTGTCAAGCAGTGTTTTAACTATTGCGAAGTCACGTTTATGTAGGTAGTACGTTGTTAAGTAATTGAAATAGTTTTCTTTCTGGTAAAAAATAATGACCTATAAATGAAATGACACGACTGCTACCTTGGGCTCAACAAATGTCATACATACCATGTCGTTCTTGTTTTTCCTGTGCAGTGAAGTTTATATTACAGTTACAGTAGAACTCGAGCATATTTTTGTCAGATTTAATCTGACGTAGAAGTAGAACTCAACCCGGGATGAAACAGGTTCTTAAACTGCAAATTATAAGTTAAAATTCAAAATTAAAATTTCCGACAGAAATTTTAAAAACCGACAGAAGCCAGAGGCTGACGTTCACAAGGAAACAGGTGAACTAACCGTACGAATATTTAGACGCCTAGCCGTTCAAACATTTGAATGCCAAAATCGAGGTTAAATTTTCAGCCGTTACGGTTGAAAATTTGCAATTGATCGGCGCGGTATGAACACCATGATCGTCCTAATTAGGCATGGTCGCCTGGCGTTTTAGAATTTGCTTATGTAGCGCTCTCCGCATGAGCAGATGGTTAAACCACTGAAGTTGAAAATTCAACGTGATTCGTCATTTCCGTGTGAACGGAGAGACGATATTGAACGGCCCGGTGTGAACAAAATGCCCGGTCATATTTTTCAGCCGGTCTACAATTCGCCTGATGCCATGTGAACGTAGACTAAGGAAACACTACCTTCTCGAACCGCCACTCATGGTTCCCCGCCGCCGTTTCGCGGGATTCAGTTGTAGTGGAAGGAAAGGTCGTCCTTTTTTCTTTTCGCCCTGGCACAATAGGGCCATTTATACGAGGAAAAATAAGACGCGTCTTAAATAAGACGCGAACTTTCCGTATAAACGGCACATTTCGTCTAAAATAAGACGCGGCTTAGCTAAGACGCGTCTTACTAGATAAGACATGCTCGTATAAATGGTACAGTTCGCGTCTTATTTAAGACGGGTCTTATGTAAGACGCGTCTTATTTTTCCTCGTATAAATGGCCCTAATGTGTCAAATGAGCTAATCCGTGTAGAAGGCAGCTTGGTTTCCGAGTTAATATAAGATACAATGCGTTTTGGTTAGGTTAAATTAATTTCAGGAATAAAGTATTTTGATTTCCAGAATAAAATATTTCGCTAACATATTTATATTGCAATATTATATATGCGTCTTATGGAACAACGTTATTTTACGATTTTTATAGCGGGCCAATAACCAGATTCGTCTTACCAAAATGCTTATAAGGTTTGTCGGGAAAAAATTGGATCATGTTGGGTTTTCATTACTAAGCTTTGTGATTGCTGAAATACCTCTTCCCTGTTTTGAGGGTCATTTTTTTAAAACAACTAATAGTCTCTCGCTCAAAAGGAAGTTCGCACCTTATTTTGTCGTTGACTCGCGCGTTCCCTTTCTCTACCAGTTCTGTTCTCGCGAAAAGGGCCTGGGGAAGTATTAAGCGTCGCCGAGACAAAAGATGAAGAGTAACTAACGGTTGATTTCCACAGACGCGTTTTTGGCTACGCCCGTTAATTTTTATCACGTCAATAAAATAGAGGCAAGCTAAAAAGTGCTGAACTTAAACGAGAAGTTGAGCGAGGTTCAACTCTTACGCTTACAAGCGACCTTTCATGCATTGCCCCTATTTTATTTGCGAACGTAGATTTTACGTACGTACGTACGCAAGTGAAAATTACGCGACAATGGAAATCAACCCTAAGGGCCGCTCCCCGATTTTCGTTCGGATATTTCTTGATGCAACGTTTACTCCTTGGCATAAACTACGTCGCCATAAACAAAGATTTTGACCCTGAAAAACTGTATCGAGCCACCTTAAGTTTACGTTTCAACAGTCACAGCCCAGAAGTGAACTTTTAATAGGCAATGAAAAAAAATGGAAGAAACTTCCAGAAAAGAACTGAGACGCGAAGTACAAGAAGAAAAGATGCAACTATGAGACCCCGAAAGTTCCCCAAATTTCTTCCGATTATCTTGACATCTTGTTTGATTATTTTCTTTTTTTAAATTCAGGTTCCGCACGAGTGTTGTTGACTAATTGCTATTTAATCTAAGGACCTGAAAATCAAGCGTCTTTGTTCTGACTCGTTCGGACCGACACAAGTTTTCTGCACGTCAGTTTTTGAACAAGGAGAAATATCAAGGAAAAGTTAGCAAATTTTCCAAGCCATCCGGATATGTTTTTCTCGTCTAGATACGGTTAGGGTCAGACCATTAGAAAAGTTATGGCAGGGGTGGAGAACGGCTTTCGAGCTGCACGAAATTTTTTTCATTCATTTCTTTTTTCCATTCTTATTTCTCTCACTTCTCTTCTTCAGTATCTTTTCCCTTGCATGAATATAGAATATATTTTTTTAACTTCCACCCCCACCCCCACCATAAGTTTTCTAATGGTCTGTCCATTATATTCCAGCAAACTGAAACGTGATTCTTCCAACAAAATTGCATAAAATATTTATTCCTAATTTCAATCATATATCATCATATATCATATAATTTACACGAGTTGTAACTAACTTGTGTTTTTATCGAAATCAACGTCTGGAGTTAAAAAGGGTAAAATCTCTGTAAATTAAACAGATCTTAATTTGAAAAAATGTCCTTTTAGCGATCGCTTTGTGATCAATCAGGGTGGAAAGATCTCAAAACAAGCGCTCTTGGCAGAGCCGAGCAACACGACTCGAAACTTCAGAAATTAAACCGACATTCTTGCCTTCCATGTGCCCCCAAAAGCGCAAGTTTTATTGAGACGTCTCGTTCTTGGCACAACCAAAGCTACTATCCTCCGCATTTGCGTCTAGTCTTCTCTCGGCTGGTTTTCTGTGGAGCCCAGACTTTCCCGGACAAAGCTCTTCAGTCCCTGCCCAGTGGAATATAACATAAAGGACATGGCGGTGTCGATGACCGATTGTGGTAGCCATCCCTGTTAAAACAGACAAGAGGAGAAACAACTTTATCATGAGCAGTGCGTGTCAAGAGCCCTTGTGTGAAGACCCTGATTCCCGTCTGAATTCACGGTTAAGACAAAAAACCCGGCTTGTCTAGTTGCTGTTACCTTAAGATCTACATCAAACAACCAGACATATTCAGTTCTGTTTGGATTTCCCTCGGCTTCTCGTATAGCCCAGCCACCGGGACCATTTTCAGCTCTGAAAAAACAAACAAACAGACAAACCTCAGGTATAAGAAATTGAGCTAAGAACAATGCCATGAGGTAGTCCTTCGGGTAAAAGGAGCTATTTCACGCTACCGGTTGCCTTTTTAACAAGCTTAAACCGGTCTTTGCATCAATCGACTTCCGAAAATAATGGTCCAGTTTTGTTATTTAAGAACTATATTTAGGCATTGAAACTGTTTTCTGTCGTCTGTCGCTACGGATGAAAAGGATGGACATGGATTGAAAAAATTGGGCCAACTAATGACGATCGGTGCTCCCGGTTGAAATCTATTTGCTATCTTTTCCTCAACTCTATAGGAGCATTATGTGCACGGGTAAAGACACTAAGCAATGACGTAAGCACAGAATTGACTAAAAACAGCAGGATCCTCGTAAAATAGCCCCTTTAAGTAGGAGACGGGGGGGGTGGGGTGTTGGGTGCTATATAAACTAAAAAATTAGAGTTTTCTTCTAAACATCCCATGCAACAAAGAATACAGCCAATCAGAGAGCTAGAAACATGTTACATATTCTGTGGCGGGTCATTGTACTCACGAAAAATATCCTGGCAATGCTTGTGGCCTGCTCGTGGTATACAAGTATACTTAACAAATCGACCACAATTTTCCATGGTCTACACTCTTATAGTCCATAGAAATGGCGCCATAAAATGTTCAAAACTCAAGTGGAACCACGAGCCGTAGCCAAGTGGTTTCACTGCAAAGTTTTGAACATTTTATGGCGCCATTTCTATGGACTATAAGAGTGTAGACCATGGAAAATTGTGGTCGATTTGTTTTTTACAATAACATTTATTTTTAGTTTCCTGCGAAGTAAAACAAACGGCACTGCTTAAACGGTTACGTCATTTCCACGCCTATACTCTCATAGACCATAGCTCTCGACCAATCAGCACGCGAGGATTCGCTCAGCTATTGTAAAAAGTTGAACCTCTCCACAATGGCCACCATGGGGACAGAAGAAAGTGACCAGTGTAGACAGGTGACCGTTGTAGAGAGGTTGAAACAAGAGTGAATGCATGGACTGTCTGCCAAAAAAAACGGTGGCCGTTGTAGAGAGGTGGCCGTTAGTGGAGGTTCGAATAACTGTATCATGAATATCCTACTCATGCCTTCATCTTTCTTTGTATGTACACACGCTTTTAGACGCCTGACAAAAATCAAGCCACTCGTGGGATACTTCACACCTAACACTCAAGTGCAACTTTTTTCCCACACGTACAAAAGGGCTGATCACAGCGAACTTTGTAATAAACAGTTTCTGAATATCATTGTCATTCCGCGCTCTGATCCAAATTATTTGTCTTTTTGTGATAATGTCTCACCTTATATGTCCCTTTTTAGGTGGTGCTTCATCAACTTCAGTTGCTACGTTACAAGACAGAAATACGTCTCCTCTCTTTTCCCAACGGCGAAGGTTCACAAAATCCCTGAACAAAATAAGGTCTACACATTTACTAAAGAGAGTACAAGCCATGCAAGATATGGGTCTTCCAGCTGTTAGAGGAAGACAATTATTGAGGCCCGTTTACAGATAGAAGATATTTAGCAATTATTGAATAAGGCTGAATTCTGCAGATCTCGGATGGTGATAACAACCTCCGAGATCTGCAGAATTCTTCATATCCTACGACAGCCGAATTCAATAATTGTTTTATTATTCCTTCAAAATAATTTCAAGTTTAAAAACAAGCTAAATCATGATAACCTTGGTCGATGTACGTTTATATCGATAATGCATCTTTATCGGGAAGTTTAGGAGATAAAGGTCTGTTCAGGTCTGAAAATATGCTTCAAATAGCAGATGTCGTCCGTCTTCATGCTGTTCTTACCATGTTTTTAGACAATATTTCGCCGTGAAACGAGTAAAATGTTCCGCCGATTGTTCCGCCACTTTGTTCTAACTACCAAAACAATTCAACCTCGTCCCCAGGTTTTCACAGTCAACGGTTCAATAACCTGCAACCAGGCTCCACTTGTGACGTCATTTTGACGTCATCGGTTCAATATGACAAAATTCTTTCCAAATTTGGTCAACAGTAGCTGGTCATGGTGAATTATGCGTGTGGTTTTAACCAATCAGAAACGGGGAAATATTTTGAATGAATAATAAGTATAGTGTATATGGAGAAAAACCAGTCACAGGTAGATGGGTCACTCGCCTACCCGAGCTACCGTGGGTGAGCCAACTTTCCCTACATTTCCTTAAAAGACTTGGCGAACCGTTTACAAGAGAAACAAAAAGTTTGCTGAGCTAGAAGGGTAACCTGCCTAGGCGGGTCACCCTTTTTCGAGTAGCCGATGTCACCTTCCTAGCCGGGCCAACTTTCATCTTCATAAACACTTTGGTTTGCCCAACCGGGTGAACTCAGATAAAGCGAGATAATTAGAGCATGCCTGAACACTGTTGGCTCGGGAAAAGGTGTCAAAGTTTTTCTCTTTTAAATGCTGTCACCCTGCCACTCACAAAGGTTCCGATGCTCCACCACTTAAGGAGGTTAATAGGTATAAAATTTATAAAATTAACACTTCCCAGATAGAAGCTTTTCCTATACATTTATAAGAAAACCGATAAACTTTATGAACATTTTTTAAATTTAGTCCTCTGAGGTTTAAGAACTGCCAGCAGACTTTGCTGTCATAGATTTGCCCAGCAAAACCCGAACAAACAATATCTGAAAGGCGCGATTCCATAGATAGGCCTGTTCGTACAGCATAACGTTTATCTTTCCAAATAATTAGCAAGGAGGCTCTCTGATGGAGGTATCAAAGAAAAGATATGAGATATCACCCAAAACAAAAAGAGTTATATTGACCTACTTAAAGTGTTCTAAAGTTCACTGATAACTACAAACTGCTTCCTGATGTTGGTTGATGTGTAAGTTGAAGTTTTTCACAGTGAAGCTAGACATTGGCTTTCAGATCGGCGCATATTTTACTCACCTAGCAGAGACCATGCCTCCTCCAGCCTCACCAACGCTATTGTAAACAATATCAGTGTGACGATCAATCTGGCGAACAACCTAGGAAAAAAAAGCCAGTTACAGTAGAAAGTATATCCTTGAGATCCAAGGACAGTCAATCAGATCCTAAGAAAGCAAAAGCGAGATTAAACAGAGACGACTGGGACGTTTCAGCAACCTGTGCGGTAGTCATCTTCAGAGTCAAAGTGAGTTGTATCACGTCAGTTGATGGTAGGAACTCTGGTTTTTTATCTCACTGGTCAATTAAGTCGCGATGTTATTGGTCGTCTGTCAGTTAAGTTGTGATGTTATTGGCTATGAAGACTCGTTATGTCATTGGTGCGTTTAACCAGTCACAATTAAACAGTCGTTTATTGTTAGTCAAATTGTCGGTTGTCCAGTCATTCTCTTACTAGTAGTTAGTTTTGCTTGATTTCGTCAATAAGTCGTTTGTACGGTGCCGTTAACTGTTTACTATAATTCAGTGGCGTTTGTTCAAAGTTAGTCAACCAACTTTCTAAACTGAGTCGTTGAGAGAAGTCTGTTGAATACGTAATACATGTGGCAGAGTCGCAGTCGATTTGATGTTTCGCCTGTAAATGGTGTTTAGTAACCATTTCTTGTTGCTCGTTTGTGTTTGGTCCGTCGCATGCTAAGGTTTCTGCCGTATTTACCGATGTAGGTGGCCTGGCAGTCGCAGCATTTGATCTTGTATACTGCTCCCTGTCAGTCACCCTGTTCGTCTTTGTAGTCGTCGTAAAGTGGTTATACGTTTGTGTGCAACACGTATATTGTAAGGTTGAAATATACGTGCGATAGTTTCAGAGGTGCCTCTGATGTACGATATAGTCGCTGTCGTTACAGGGCCAGAGTTGACGTTGGTCTGAGTGTTGGAATCAGCGTTACTGTGAGTGTTTCGTCTAACAAAGTCCGCGTTATAGTTGTTTTTACTAAAAACGTTGTTTAGGTAGTCCGTCACCTCTTGTAGGCTGTCAGGCCGGTCGCAAACTAATTAAGCCTGTTGCTTTTTTTCACTGAGTTAAATTCATTTCTAAAAGACTGTATCGAAGTTCAGGAAAAGAAAAAGAAAGTCGTTGTTTTGTGTTGACGTCCTCCACAAAACGTAATGAATTAGGCGTTTTCAGGACGTAGTCGTGCAGTAACACCAACGAAATGTACAAAAAAGCGTGATGCACGTGCAAAGTTGTTGTTTTGCCAATCTAAACCTATAGCTTTTTTGCAGTTCTCGTTGGCGTCGCCGTTGTCGTTGCTTAAGTTTCCTACTATTACTGTCCAAGGAAGGCTTGAACTGGGGGTGAACAACTTACGTAGGAAGAAGTGATGTTTCCTCCCCATCTAGAAGCATCCTCTGGATGTAGAATGATCAGACTAAATACATCTTCAGCTTTTGCATCCAAAGAGGACTGCAAATAACAAAACGCCGGCATTAGACAGTCCTTTAAGAGCTGTATTGCGTTTTGACATTGCCTTTGACAAGAAAAGTATTAATTTCTCCCACAATTATTATTCCAAAGCCAAGCCTGTAATCTCAAAATATATACAATAGCGAGCACGTTCCCTGCTTTAGGCGTACGACAGAACATGGCCTGGGACAGGCTGGCAAGCACGCTAACCGGCACCATTCCCTTTCTTTTATTAAACAGTACTTGCTACATTTTTTTTTCTTTTTTGTTTCATGGCTTAAAATCACCAGTCTTTCTTTCCCTTTTTTCGTTATCTGAAGAAACTTAAAACGGTATAGAAATGCAAGGAGGAAACAAAGGAAAGACAATGGGAAAATGAAGGAATCGAAAAACGTTTCATCGCCTTATTGTCTGTCTTTAATTAATAATAATGCTAAAGAAATTTGAGATAGAAATAAGTTTTTTTATCAAATTACCTTTAATCTGTAGATTTTCTTTCCACTTGGAAGCAATCTGCTTCCTACGACAATTCCATCCTAATTAATAGATGAACAAGAAAAATAAAACAAACTTTAAAACTAAGACCTCCAGTTATATTGAACTGCTGTATAATATTTGCCACGAGTGACCGCGACGTTTCATGCTTAAACACACCTTGACTTTTTCTGATTTCCATCCATCGGTGAGATTCATTAAATTCCAAGTTATTTCCAAAGTTTCTTTACTTTTTTGAATTAATTGTAGATCCTACAGAAGAAAACAATTGACCACTCAGCAACTTTAGCCCTCTTTCTATGTCAGATCTTTGGGTCTTAACATGGGACACAATTCAGTTACCCAGTTAACACGAACACTCGGGGGGGGGGGGGGGGGCATAGAAAGCGTCGGCATTAACAGGGTCCGTTTTAAGCGGGTTGAATTTAGAGAAAATGTAAGGGCGCTTCTGCTTACTTGTTGGAGCCGTCAGAAAGAATGGAGACAAGTGTACCTCTTGAAAAATTTGGAAACTTACGAAATGACGAGGGTGGAGGCAACAACGACGGACAGATGAAAAGTGGTGTTAACAAGAAAAGCAACTTTGCATGTCCATGCAACGCACTTTAAGTACATTTCGCGATGATAGCGGAGCCCAGCACCTAAGAAAATTTGGTAATCTGTCCATCCGAGGAATTTTAACAATTACGTGACCGTACGTACGTCCGCCCGTCCGTTCACACCACAGGGAAACCAATGTGAAATGTCAAACTTTCTAGCTTGTGTGGGAGCCTGTTACCTGTGTTTAACTTGATGGTAGACATCCATATTATGTTCAATTGACAGCTGTCAAAACAAGGTATCCGCTGACCAGAGTCACATGACCAGATTGCGGGCTCAGGTACCAACTCATCGAGGTCATGTGTTTTCAAGCTTTTCGCTGACCAGCTATTAGCTTTTAATTGATCGCAGGTTGAAGTTTACGTTTTTCAGTCATATGGTTCTCCCATATATAAAGTTTATAGCAGTTCTTTGCAATGATTTAAAGTCCATTGTCTGAAGTAAATTTAAAATGCATAAACTGGAGCTTCCCCCTTAGCTCCGGCTAAATCTGTATATTATGAAGTTTGAAAGAATGTACACTCACTTAGGACAAAACAAAGGCAAATTACGTTATTGATGATATTTTCACTGCCGTCATCGTCGAGGATTCCAACCTAATTCCAACGCGGAATTGCTCCGTTCGCAAAAAGCAATCACATCCAGAGGATTCCCTACCATCTAGGCAGTCTGCTCTATCAGAGTCAGTCTAAAGTCGCCGATGGGCGAGCTTACAACACACGAGCATCGATGAGACAAGATCACTACATCATGCATTCCAGTTGACATGGGAGGATAAGAGAGACAAAGCCAACAGTTTAACACCACTGCTCCATCACGCGATAGTCAGTCTGAACTGACAAAAGGTCGTATTCAAAGCAAGCAAGCATGATCATAACAGTTTGTTTAAGACCCTGGAGTGGTTAGCGGTTTGGCTTGGTTTGAACCCTCGACCTCTTGCTCAAAAGAGCGACTCTCTGTATAAACTGGCTGACAGTAATACCTTTGACTTCTTCATTACCTGCGGGGAAAATCTTGCTGCTACAGGTTGGGACCTACGCGGTTCCTCTGAGTCACTTTCGATTTCGCTGTCAGAAGCTGAAAAAGAAAACAACCACAACGACAAAACCAAATGACAATGAGCATCATAGCTGAACAATTGTGACGGCAATCGCGCAAACTTACTAAAACAAAGTTTTCTCATTTACTGAAACTAAGCTACAAAGATAATACGTTCTAAATAAATGTGCTTGATCAAGTAAATGCGAAAGTTGTGTTTAGGCGGAGCACGGATAAAGCCTCGAAAGCTTTACCGATTTTGTGCAATCTTTCCATATATCAAATCGTCTTTGATAAGCGACTGATGACGTCACAAATGGTATAAAGATGGCGATTCCCCACACGAAGTTTTAAGCACAGCTTGAGGCGTGAATGGGCTATTGTTATGGGATGTTATGATGGTTAAAATCAGAGTAATTTTATGTAATAACAAATTATATGACAACCAACCTTCTGGGGTGTAAAAACTGTGCTCCGATACCAGGGAATATGGAGTATTATACCTGAAACAGACCACACAAATTTTCTTCATCAGCTATTTGAACAAAACTAAACGTTGTTTTAAGCCAAACTGTCCGGAGGATTTCATCAGTAACTAGAGCTGTTATTTTATTCATCTATTTCTAGCTGTATTTTTGAAAACGTATCGAGCCAAATTTGCAGCCATTTCAGAGTGCGAACCCACCAAAACCAATGGAAATTTTTTTTTAGCATCCGCTATGCCTGAAAAATCACACACGAAAAGGAGAAGGAAGGGAAAAGAGGAAGAGTGAGGAGAAAGAAAAGAGGAGAAGAAAAAAGTTAATGGTTGCACTCTTAGTTTTATATTGGCTACTTTAAACTGCTTGAAGGAAGAGCGTATTAAGCAGTCACGTTTTCAAAATTCCGGCTGATTTATATATTTATCTGTTCAATTTCTTACCCACGAAATGCCTCACCAAGAAGCGGTCTTCTCTCTTCTGTGGGAAGGAGATGAAAGAATAAAACTCGGTTCAGTTGTAGACCTTCTTCTCTCCTAAATTGTTTCTACTATCTCATCATGATTAATCTCATTCAACTGCATATAGCACGCTAATTTGTTACAATACCTTGATGGATTCTTTGTTCTGCTTTAACTTCTGCTGGAATTACCTATGAACAAAACATCAAATTAACAAACTGTTACAAGCAGAATCCTGCAAGCTTTGCCTTTCAAATGAGATCTCTACCAGTTCTTTGACACGGCCACTACAAACTTTTGAGAACATATCATGGGTTCAATACAAACGAAAACCAATCAAAATCAAAGACTACTGAGAGGCAGCAGTTTTAAAGAAAAAGAAATAAATCTTTCAAATTCATGACTCCACCTTCAAAATTTCTTGAATGTATTTTTATTGGTTCTGTATTTAATTACAGTTACAAAACCTGTCAAAAATTTGTGGAAATCTTCATCATTTAACTGCACGTTAACATTGTGGGAATATTATTACTTTAAAAGTAAAAAACAACTACTTAAGTACTCTTAATTTAGCTGTTAAAGGGTATCTACTGACCTTAACGTCAAACACCCAAGACTCCACCCAAGACAACACCAGAGACGATAAAACCAGAACATAATACAGAGTTGAGTTTCCATCATCTTGGGAAGACTGCACAGAAAAATGATTGGAAATTAACAGTGTTAGCAGAGATAAATGTGTGAATTAAATCGCAGGTTGTTGTTGACAAAAATTTCCTTGCACCAGTAGTATTCGATTTCCATTGAAGTTATCAGAGACCTTTAGATTGGAGGATGAGAATGATTATGAACGGTGACAGAACGTTTTTTCATGTATTCTCAAAAAAATAGACACCCTGGAAAGCTTCATTGAACTTTTTATTCACCAAAAACGTTAGCACTGTTATCTTTAATCCAAGGAGGTTAAGCCTCCTCCCGATCTCAAAATGTTAAAACTTCAAACATTTGATAACTTGTTTCTACTTGCTAAACTCAGAGTAGAATAATGACAGCTATCACATTTTCCCACCAAAATGACACTGCATGGTTGTAATAATAATAATAATAATAATAATAATGCTTCTGAAGAGGCTCTGAACATCCCAAATAGCATTTGTCCAATAAGGCTCCTACCAGAAGCATGCATGATGTGAGGTTGCTGTAACAGATTCAGGGGATGAAAATAAAACAAACAAACTAGCAAATATGGCAAGGAAGGTGATAGGAGACAAACAGGAAAGTGAAATGGTTTCAACAGCAATGCTATGTGGAAGCCTGTGGCTGAAAGTGAACTATCTCACAGGGTAAAAAGTGATGCCAAGGGGAAACTGATAGAGAAGCTTAGAGAAGGAAAATTGCCATGGCAGATATTCTAGGAGTGATCTTGATGGTGAGTCATTAATCAAAAGCTTCTAAATGTATATTATAAGAAAAAGTGCCATGCCGATCTCACAACAATCAACACATAAATTATAAATGTGTTTTATTCTTCACTTTGCATTAAAGTATTTAAAATCTACTATTTAGATTTTATTTCCCTTTGGCATACTTCTGCATTGCCTCAAAGCATTGATTGTCACCTAAATAATGTGTCTTTTACAGCTGCAAAAAATCCCCATCACCCAATACACGTTATGTCATTCAAAAACAGAATACTCAAAAAAATATTGGAAACCAGAACAACTACACCCTGAGAAACAATTTAACTTACTGCAAGTACTTGTGTCAGTATAATTTTAACAAGAAGAAAGGCAGTTGTTACTGTGGTAGTCACCTAGACAAATAAAATAAAAAACAGGTCAAAACTAAGAACCATCAGTGTCCTCCTTGGATGCCTGTTTTGTGCTTGAACTGACGAAAAGACACTCACTGCCGTCTGCTGCACAAGCCTGGCTTAACAACTTTCGAATTCAATGAAACATTAACCAATGACAAAATCTTCATTTTAAGAAGCCTTTTTGCAGGTTATATATTTATATGGATTTACTCTGTTTATACAAAAAAAAAATGACTATTGTCACTAGTCACAGAGTGAAGATCCAGTTGTCAACAGCCTGCTTGGATCAAGCCTTATGAATACCCTTGGACTTCACAAATGCTGGGAAGAACACTGACCTTACATGAAAAGGACTGTTAGTAGATAACAGTCTTAAAAGGTAATAAAATCAATAATAATTATTGTTATACAGCTGAAAATATTTTCTCAACAGTGTGTGCTCTCATTGGCTACTTCAAAATCACATGACATCTAGCAATGAAACTGTTTCCTGCCAAAATCTGAGCAGGCAACATTGCAAAATCTATGACATCACAGGGTAATGGTGCACTGTTACCTGCAAATGTCAGGGCTTCTGATGGATCGCGGAAGAAAAAGTCAAATTTCGCGGAATATTTAGGGACAAATTCGCGGAAAAATCGGCCAATTTCACAGGAATTTCATGGGAGTTTTCGGAGCAAACTTCACCAAAAAGCAATCGGTAAAAAATGGCCGATTTTGTGGCTATTTTCTAGGCAAATTTTGCTAGAAATCGATTGGTTTTGCGCTGATCAGACCAGCGTTTTTAACGTTTATCTAACAGAGGTCATCATTTGCTCTTTCAACAACAATACGCTCCAGAAATGAACCAATGGCAAAGCCTTTAACATGATGGCTAGTGTCCAGTTTTTCGAAATATAATCTACGCCTGGTAGTTTCGGGATGTTGTTTGCACGTTTCAGTGACGAAGTTCCAAGATAAATTTGCAAGTAAATAGCCCCTATAGCTGAAATAAGTTTCAAATACGTTGTACAGACATGTATTTGATAAGATTGCTACCGAATTTCGCACTATTTTTCGTGTTTTTGTGAATTTCGCGGGATTTCACAGATTTACCTGAATTTCGCAGCTCTGTGACCGCGTGAAATATCAGAAGCCTAGGAATGTTGACCGACGACCATTGTTTAAGTGAGGTTTAATGACTTTCCAGCTTCAAAATTTCCAGCTATATAACAAATCACTTTAAGACTGGTTCCCCGGGAAACAGTTAACTTTATTTCCCAAGAATCTAAATGTTTCCCCCAGCTCTGCCTCAGTAAACATTGAGATTCTTGGGAAAGAAATCAACTGTTTCCCTCTGGACCAGTCATTAAGTGTTCATTATTATACCATCATCAATTAGAGTTAATTATTTAAAAACTGTACATATTTGTAAATATTAGCACCAATAAAGACACTGAAACACTGAACCAATACTTACAGCAACAGCATACCACTTGCGACTGACACAAAAAGCATAAGCAAGCAGAAGAACAATCATTCGCCACAATGCCAACAGCTGGAAGGCAATGAAAACACAGTTCATTGATACAAAAATGCCAAACAAATAAAAAACACTTCACAGTTTGGGTTGTTCAAGGTTTTAGTTTGGTTGTTTATATTAGTTAGATGGATAGAAGTTTGAGAATTTTCCACCAGTGTTTGCCTCTGAGATCTTGATACAGCCTTCATTGTACTTTAGATTATGTTCAGCTGGTACTACAACCAGCTGCATAAGACAATATGATAACACAAAATCATGCTGAATTTTCAACTCAACTACACCTGAATTTTTTCTCCGAACTTTTCCCAAGGAGATGGGGGGCACTCAGGTGGTGATTGTGTACTGTTTTTATTCCCATACTGAAGGGGCCTTTGAAAATTAATAGAAATGTATGGTCCCAATTGACTCCTACCCGAGCTAGGAAATAGATCAGAGAGACGTCTGCGCCTCAAAGGCAGAAATCCCACACTAATGATGTAAATCAATGTTTACATAATTAATCTGGTAGTCATGGGGTTCCAAATGTAAAATTTGTTTGAGTTTATGCCTCTCCTGGTCTATTATGGCAGAGAATTCAGTTCTTCTGTGAATGAATTGCAGAAAACTGAGATCACTTCCTCTAAAGAAGAAAATGTTCCACCAATAATGACTGTTCTGTATAGTAGTTGATTCCTCTCCTTCACTTTTGATCTTTGGAACCTTTTGTCTTTTGTCTGTCATTAGTAAACAACAGCTAAACAATAGAATTACTTCGTCGACCAATCAGAGCTCCTGACCAGATCCCCGATGGATTTTACATCATCAGCATGGAATTTTTGTTGTTAACTCATTGTCTCCGGCGCCTAGGGCCGTCGATGTCACAACATCGACTACGAAAAAAAAATCCCAAAAAATCGCGTTACTTCCGCTTACCTCCAAATTTGGCCCACAGGAAGTTAATAGCTTTAGTCAATTATGTGCCTAGTTCCAGCCCCCTGCGAGTTTTGAGCTTCACGCAACGATTTTTCAAAAATGTAGAAAAATGGCGGTGCGTAGTGAGAAGTATTTGGGATGTTTTTGCATAGAGTGAAAGCTTATATCGACAAATTTCATCCAAATGCAAGTCAAGCAAATTGTTTTGAAGGATTCTGGAGGATAACAAGCAAAACAAACGCGAAAATCGAGGAAAGAAAACAGTAAGAATCTTTGCCTTCAATTCCCCGAGTCGGCAATGTCTGCCACAAATTCTCTTCAAACGCAGTGAGTTCCGTCCCACTGAGCTTTTTGCCTTCAAAGCCTTGCTTACTTTGATCACTTATATCAGTGAATTCATGTTTGCCTGTTTTTAACTCGATATTTCTCTGAGAAACTAAAAAATAAAGCGTCTTTTGAAGGTAAATATCGGGCCACAAAGTGACGCTAAAGTATCTAGTTTCGCTATGCTAATTAGCTCTGACCTCATTTGCATAATCCGATACGGTCACAAAATATATTTGTGGAAAATTGTTAGTTGCTCTATATTTTTTACCGATATTCGGGCTGTTTTGCTTAGATATTGAAGAAAAAAAATTGTTTGTACTGTATTACACAAAACAGACAACTTTCCTGGCAAAATTACACTCGTAAAAATTTTTTAAAATAATTATGCAGAAATATGCTTGTTTATAATTTTTTTTGCAGAATATTATGGGTTTCCTGAGACCGAAATATTTTTTTTCTGAAAGTTTAATTTTTGCCCTTTACAATGAGGTATAGCTTTATAAGGAACTGGAAATAACAGCAGAGATATGAATTTTTAAAGTTGCATGGTCAAAACTACTTAAAACGCTCCGGAGACAAAGTGTTAAAGCACAGACATCTCTCCAGTGAACATGTCCCTAGGGGCGAGGAGCGAGGAGAGAAGACTGTATTCACAGGCTACTCCTGCTCCTGTAGGGAAAATTAGAAGGGGAATTCAGCAGTGTATCCCATGTCACTTGTGGTTTATTCCATGCACCCATTCATACCATGTTAACATGTTTTCTCAGTGAGTATCATGGGGCACGACTTTTTAGTTCAGTGCATATGAAGAATGTCTGTTGCCAAATGCAGCTTATAACTGGAGCAGTCTCGCTTTTAAGAGAATAAAGGTCACTTACACCCCACCCTGCTGGAGAAAGATCTTACATCAGTAAGCATTTTGACTTACCACAATATCAAACAAAGAGGCATCAAACTTGTAATGTATGACATCTTTCTTCATAGCATCTTTGAACCTCTGACCACTGAAAGCCTATAAAAAGTAAATCAGAGTACCAGTGTAAATAAAAAAAACATACTTTGCTGGACCACTTTCATATTAAGGGCAACTCTAAACTTCTGTGATGGTAGAACTGTTCTGTTTTGCTTATAATTAACAATTATTCGCCGAAGGCGAAGTTAATATTGTTGAATAATCCCCGAGACGAAGTCAAGGGGATTATTCAACAATATTAACTGAGCCTGAGGTGAATAATTGTTTTAGTATATTCACACGAAGTGATCTCAACAGAATCAGAAAGGAAACCATTAAAAAACGATTAGTTTGATTGACGGGTGAAAATTCATGCGTGAACACGAAGCCGTAAACAGTGGATGCGCAAAAGTTAGATCTTTACAGTATCTTCAAACATGGCAAATGATAGTTTTAATCCTTTTGTATCGAGTTTTGTAAGCTTTAGTATCAACGGTTTAAAAGAAAACACGGAAAATTTAAATTACTACTCAATTCTGAGAAGAAAAGTATCCAGAGCTTTATTTGTTTCTGTCAACTTACCGTGAATGAGACAGTTTTCTTCGTCGCTTCTTGCAAATGCTGTCAACAACGGCTGCGATCAAGGTGAGCGTTGTTTATCTCCAAAGTTCTTTGCCTTGTTAACTTGCTGGCACGTACAATTTTCGAAAATATTTGCCTTCCTCTCTTCTCCATAAATTAACTTCTATTTATAGGCAAAATTGGTCTTGCGAGAAAATCCCGAAATCACAAAACAGTGACAAAGCGACCTCGTTTTCCTCTGAAGTGGTAAACATAGCTTCGAGCGTACAAAAAGTCAGCTAAAGTAAACCACTTCACAATAAATCACGCTGTTTAAACACCATGAAGTCTTTTCTTGCCTTCAAAGTCATCAGCACTTGGATATTCGTGTATTTTCAAAAAGGTTTTACTTTGAAACTTTGGCAAAACACCCAGTTCACGACAGCGATTTTGTTCGGCTTTATATTCACTGCCTAGCGCGGTGAATATAACGTCATAGTCCGAGATAGCTAACCAATCAGATTGCTTGAATTACCAAGATCACTGAGTGTGTATATACTAATAAATGATATCACCTGAAAAAACAATGTCTTGATATGACAATTTCAAAGTAATGCATCTGAAGTTTTGCCCACATTGAGAAGTGGAACCCTGCTCCAATTGGTGCCATGGGGGCAGTTGATCTTATCAGATAAGAGGGTTAACATGACAGGGCATCATACAAATTCACCGTCTCAAGAGAGTAGGTGCTGCCTGGGGAGTACTCTGGAGTTAAAGTGTCGACAGGGATGATCACAGAACTTTTTTGGGTTTGAAATTGTCGATTCTGGAATTTTTTTGGGTGGGAAAATTTGGCAAGTACTTTTTGAGGTGCCCTAATTAAAGAAGGGATTCAAAAAAACTGAAGATTTCTTGTGGTACTGCATGCGTATCAGCCAGCCACGTAGTGTTAGAGTACCAGATAAGGAAAAGATAAATTCAGGATGTACTATATACATTCAAGAGCATTCTTTTTGCATGGAATTTTTAAAGGCTCAGAAATTTCGACATGGGATTTTTGGGGGGTTTTAATTTTAGGTATAGGGAATTGATTTTGGATTCTCTGAAGGCCCTAGGTATTTTTTCCTCTTACTTTCTCCTTTGGCTGTTTTCTCTGCCTTCCTATGGTTTTAGATTTGAGGGTTTTTACTTTTCGCCATGAAAAAAATTTTAAGACCCCTAAATCCATCCCAATTCGACGAAAAGGATCGAAGGGAAGTTAAGCTTAATTTGACGAATAAAACTTGGAACAGTCATACTTCGAGTCCTTTATTATTCGACCCTTAGTTTTCGTAACACCCTTCTCAAGCTGACCCATGTTTAAAGAACAGAGGTATGTTTTTCCAGGAATAATTCATTGAGTTTGTCAAGGTCTCGTGACAATCGCATTGTCTCCATTAATGTTTCCATGATGCAATTCAATTCAATTTCATCTTGATACAATTATAATGTATCCAGTCCTAGACTGAGAAATGCAACAGGATCTGACGAATTAAATTTTTTAAGCAAAATAAAAGGATATAATACTCACATGTGCGCGCAAAATCCAAATAAATAAAGCGGAAAGAAAATCGAATGCGGTCAAGAGGCAGAAGAGACGACGAGACGGGGAAAAAGAACGGAAATTTCCTGAAGAAGACTGTAAAAGGGGACTTGCACTATTGCCAGGTGCAGATATCTGGCTTCCTGTTTCTGCATCCTGGCTAATTAAAGAGCTCATCATGCCCGAGCTCCCATCCATGCGATCTTTCCGTGAAACTGTAGCTTGTCAAGAAGATGGAAGATCAACAAAACCAGGGAAGCAAAAAGAAAGCCGAGTCAGTCGAAAGGAGTCTGGTAATGACTATTTTCCGCTGGCTGAAATAACTGCAGTCTCATAATTTTTGGCGGTCAGTTTTGAACGAAAACAAAATGGCTTCCCAGCTTGAAGATATTGAAAGGTATTTAGATTAAATATTCTCACACGGTTGTCTAAAACGACAGTTTTGATGCTATGTGATACTAAAGTATGATACTTTTTGTCTTAACTATGGTATAAGATCATGAGTTTGTTTTAATTTTTCGCAGGATTCTTCAAGATATCTCAAACCACAGCAACGTCAAATCGCTCCAGGGTAATGTTGGCCAGGACATCAATACCGAATTACAACTTGAAAAGCATAAGGTAAAGTTGGTTCTAATGTTATAATAAAACACTTTATTCGAAAATCATAATAAGACTAGATGAAGTGTACCCCTAGGCCTAACCAAAAAGCTGGTGACGCTATGAAGGGTATGGTACGTTTCAAACAGTTTTATAGACTAGTGCATGTGGGATAGGGTATAGAAATCAGAGAAATTGGGTCTAGAATAGTATCATTTTCCACGAAACCTGGTTAAAGATTTAAGCCTAAAGTAAAGAAACTGGGAACTGACAATGAAAAAAATGAAATTGGCTGGAATGTGCTAGTGACCTCTGTAGTTTCTAGAAGATAGTAACCCCAGGATAGGAAGGCATTTTGCAGTTAAGTCTAGTTTAGGGTTTCCTGGGGCAGTGCAAGACAACTTGTAGCAATTCTCTACTCATGAACCAGGGAAGCTGGACTTGTCCCTGGGATTTTCTGGAGAAGGGGTGCAAAAGTAAGGAGATGATTGCCTGAGCCTTTTGCCCATCATGCAAGCAAGCCTGAAAAGTTCCTTGAATTGCCTTATAAAAACAATCCTCTTGTCCCGGACAATAGGGTGAGACATTTTTTGAACCCTAGTAAAACCAATTTTTAGCCTTAGATTGTAAAAATGTAAGGATTGTGGTGTGAAAAGTCAGAACACCCCTAAATTATGCCAGAGATCTCTACCACACTATTGGGGTTGCTACAATAAATCATTTCTTATCCTGTAAAGTGGGGGCTTGAGACCCATTTAAGACATAAAGGGTTACCAAAGTTTTCTTGCCCATATTTCAAACAGAATCATCTTGCAAGTCTAAAGACAAAGTTGGCCAGGTTACAAACCCAGTCATGCTTCCTGGAAAATTTGTCAAAGGAAGACTGGTTTTCTACGGACAGCATGGAAATGACGGGTAAAATCCTGAGTAAAATAATGCAAAAAGTTATTTTGTATACTATTAGTCATAGTACTATGCAACCATATCTATTTATTTAATAGTGAATTTTAATATTGTATGAAATAAAACAATAATAAAAAATGGAATGATTTACTGATTTATCATTCCAAGAGTTGTGACATTTCACCAATAGTAGATGAGTATAACTAAAAGCCAGTTAGTGATAGGCTTTCATTATCTACATGTATTAAGATTTGTGGGATCTTTTACTGCTGTCTTTTAATGCCCTCCTATGAAGTATGCCTTCTGACTGATCACAACTCTAATTTATTTCCATTAGTTGCATTTCATGAATACAATTATGTATGAATCACACAAAGTCAGGAACAAAACGGATATGAAACTCCAAACAGCAGTAGGAAAACCTGGCAGAGTGACAGCATAGCCAAAATAGCTAGTCAAATTCAGTTAAATCAAACATGAATACATTTCCTTAATGCTGTACTCAAACAAAGACAGCATTGACTTGACATTTTCTGGTTAAGTTTACTAAAAGGAGGATACACAGCACCCTTTTCTGTTTTTGTAAATTATTTACCGAAGCCTCAAGTAACCTTTGTCATTGAAGACTGGAACACAACAAATTACCATGAAATAAGGATGGTAATCAATTTAAATTTTCTGCCATAAATTGGGTGTTGTTTTCGTCATAGAATATCAAGCAAACATGATGAAGGAAAGAAAGGAAGTTAAAGAGACAACTGAGAAACTGGAAACAGATTTAGATGACTTAGCTGAAACTCTATGCACTAGTAAGATAAAAAATAGACAATAAAAAATGTTCAGTGTTAAATGCTTATATCTCACAAGGCAAAGCATCCATACATGTATATACTGGCTGAACATTCAGTGAGTGTCCGATGGTCATCCTTTTACATAAAAATCCAGCTCTAGTGTAGTTCTTGTGTGAAAAAACTCCCAAAAACCCCTGAATAAAATAAGACCCTTATTTCAATTTATGAAAAAGGTTTGACTGACATGTGAGCCTGGATTCAGGCTTATTCGCAAAACTGTGGGCAGTGAGGTAGGTTGCCCAGTGGACAGATCATCTAAAATGAACTCTGCTAGAAACAATAGAATCCATGGTCAGCCAGTTGGTCGTTAATTTTAATATCTGCCAGGGCTATCATAAAGAGCCGGGCTCTGAGGATTTCCCCCGGCTGTTATGAACATGCCCCCTGGCTTCTTTCATATGAAAATAGAAGAAATATAGAACCAAAAGAAATCCCTAGCTGTTTGATTCCTAGCCTGCGAAGCGCAGACATATTTCCAGTCGTCACTTCTCTTCCTCCAAACCAGAAATATGTCTGCTGTTCGCAGGCTATTTGATTCCCTGCCTACTTGTTGTATTTACCTGGCAACTTGAAATCTCGGTGACATCCCTGATCTAGTAATTTCTGATGTCTGGAAGACCATAAATCTCGAACCCTGACTGATTTTTATTACATAAAGTGCATGTTAACTGCATAAATTTTATAAAATTCCACAGATCACAAAGTCTTGAAGGAGAAACTTGAGCTTTTGGAACAGAAGCTTTCATCCTTAAAAGACAAGGTTAAAACAGAACATATGTTATTCATCTAGCCATTTGATTTTAATTCTACAAACTAATAAAATTTGTCACAGAACAAATCACAAAATAATATTATTGCAAACTTTACATCTATTCTTTCCACTTAGTGTGCAAGTACTGCTGAGCCACGTCAAAATAAATATATTAATCTTTTAATTATTCTAAAAAATGTGTACATTAATCTTGTTGGATGCTTTTCCTAAATCTTAATAGGTTAAGCAACAATATTATAAGCAACTGCCACTTTTCTTGTCATTTCAGTACATTGCTTCAGCAAACAAAGGAGAATGAATATTTTCAGTCTATTTGCGCTCCTCTTATGCAAAATCTTGACCTCAATAGAAGACTTACAACTCTTAAAAAGTCTTTAAAATTCATTTTATCAAAAAATCAGATCGTCTATGATAATGACCTAATTTTTTCTCCCATTTTAGTGGCATCACTTAACAGGTCCCGTAAAATTCCGAAAATAAGCCCCGGGGCTTATATTTTTCAAAGGCCCTTTTTGAGGGGCTTATTTTTGGAGGGGCTTATCTACGGAGGGAAATTTGTGTTTCAAAATCGACTGGGCTAGCCTCATAGTTGGAATGAAATTTACCGTTTTTTCTTTGTTTTGCTTTGTATTTGAGGGTAACTTCCAAGTACAAGCCCCCGGCAGGGCTTATATTCAGAGGGGCGATTTAACGGAGGGTTTTTTGCGTTACGAGTTTGGGGGGCTTATATGTGGAGGGGCTTATTTTCGGAATTTTACGGTATGTTAAATTAAAATTCTAATATTATCCAGGCAAAAATCTATCCTCTACAAATCAATATTTTCTTCTAAAAGGGCTCTCATCGAAGAGAAAAAATTCACTAGACACCCTTTTATCAGGCTTTAATTACTGTGAGGTGTTTTCATTTTCAGCAAGGTACAAAATACTAACTGTTTGTTAAAAAAAACATCTAGCTACTGTGTGCGTGAAAGTTGCACATCCCACATGCAACCAGAAACCTTTTTTTTAGATCAAGATAATTTTTTGTGTACTCAACAGAAACATTGCATTACATCAATGTACAATGATCACAATGTGGAGGCATGTGTGGCTGGGTGTTAAACACCTTCAAATCCAGATCTGGAGGTTAGGGGTTCAAGCCTTGCACTTCGCGTTGTTTCTTTACACAAGACCTTTACTCCACTTTGTCTTTGTCATGGGCACTGGTGACTTACTGCTGGGAGGGTAACCCTGTGATAGACTAGCATCCCGTCCAGGGGGGAGTAGCAATACTCCGAGGCATGCTTCATGATAAGGAAACCGGGATAAGTTCTGTCTGTTTGGGCCTTTGGATCTTGTGCACCTTTACCCCTTTTCACAATGATCATGATTACAACATCTACATGCTAGTTGTTAAATTTAAAAAAGTAATAATTATTATTACTTTTTTTAGAAAAGCAAGTATGAGTTTCTGAAGGAAAAGTCACAAGAGACAGCTGCCAGGGAAGAGCAGGTACATACAATGTTGTTGTCTTGATATCACAGGGTTTGTACAGGACATGGAAAACCTGAAAAGTCATAGAATTAAATATTATTTTCCAGGCCTGGAGAGTAAAGGAATTTAATGGCGGGTCCTTAAAAATCATGAAAATTTAAAGTGTTGTTTGGTGGATTAGTCACTGCAGATGACATTTAGCAAGGACATTAACCAGTGTGAATGGCATGCATTTTGCTGGACATCAGAGTTTGTGTCTTTTGAAATATGTGAGGTCAAAATTTAAAAAATACCCCAAAGCGGGAAATTTAGAAAACTACTAAAATCTATATTAAAATAACCACTTAAAACTTTATACAAAAAAGTGACATCAGCTATAAAGCATCTTTGCTCAAGAGACACAAGATTAAGCTCCTTCAAACAAGATTATATTTTCTGAATATACGAGTTAAATTTCCTTGTTCACTTTGAAAAACCTTTAAATAGTAGTGTCACTTCTGACATGCCATTATACAGTGGTCTATCTATATATATGTATGACCAGTAGAGTGCATGATTATTTACATGAAGGCAAGTCATTCAGAATTAGCTTCTCTTAATGGAAACCTGATAATCTGGACACGATTATTGTTGCAATCGGACACAACCAGCTCACCCTGATTCCCAACAGCAAGACAGTATGGCAAACAAAAGTTGCCTACTTCACCACCAACACCACCAAAGCTTCGCACAAAATTTCCATGAAAATCAAGGACCTGGATACGGCAGTTTCCAGCATCACACACAAGTATGTTACCAGCTGAATCAACGGCTAGTCCCCTTGGTTGACGAAACTGCCCAGCCTCTTTCCCCGGTCTACCAATCTGCTGAAGAAAGACACCATAACGATTGAAGACCTTAAGACAGTGGTCAAATGTATCAGACACAATAAACCGTCCATGATCAAACACTGCATAGGATGGGCGTCCAAGCCTGTTTTTTCCAGTGGAGCCAAATTCAAGGCATAATTGTCCACTGTGATGGAAAACCAACACTCTCTCTTTTAAAGTGTCTGTTACTATAATCCGTCCCTCGCAGTCAACAGATATGCCCTCCACTCTGTCACCCAATTCTTCACCACTTCCAATGCTCCGGATAAGCTGACCTTGACCATCAAGAACTTTAAGTTCACAACTTTCGCTGTCAAAAGTGATGAGGTTATGATCAAGATCAAAGTCAATGCTTGTAGGAAGTTTAATTCTTTCTGATCCATTACTGGGTACAGTTTGGACATGAATGCCTTGATTATCAAATACTTGAATGCGGCAGTTGGCATGGTCAGCAACAGCTATGCAGCCATCCTGGCGTATGGCCACACCCCATGGAAGCACAAATTCACCATCACCATTGCCAGCTGTCCCAAAAGGGCTTATTTCCACATTGCCGTTATTGTAGTCTGGCACTGTTTGTCTCACATCAACAGAACTTCCACTACCAATCACAAGTTTTCCAAGTGCGGCCAGTTGTTCACTCTCAGCCATACTAATGGCTGGAGTAAATCTTATGTCCCCCACTTCTGGTATTTGCGATGTCATCTCTATGAGGTCAATATCCCTGAGCTGAGCCAAAAGAGAAGTTTTCTCCTCAACAAGTCTCCTTGTTGGCAAGGAATTAATCTGCTGCTCCACTCTCTGATATGTATCATTGGCATCTGCTATTAAACTTTGCATTACTACCCTCCGCTGCCTCAGTTCTCGCTGCTTATCAGCCACTCGCAGATTCAGTTGCTGTATTAGTTTTTCTTCACTTTCTCGTACCATCTGTATAATTCTTTCAGCAGTTTGTCGTATCTCACCCTCAACTTGCTGTCTTCGATTGCCAAGACATTCCATCATACTTGTCATCTCTATAAGCAGTTCCTGTCTCACTTCCAAAGCCCGTTTGCTTCTGTTCATATGCTCCTCCAGCTCCTTGATGTCTCTTGTTCTTTCTTTTCCAGTTATCAGGCTAGTCGCTATGTAATTTGTTGGTAGCAAGTCTATCCCCCCCGGAAATCGAATATCTGTCTCATATCGGCAGGTGGGGCAACGCACATAGTCAACATCATTTTGTGCCATATTCCTTAAGCACTGTAAGCAAACAGTGTGAGAGCAGGACAAGCATTTAGGCTCTACAAATTCTTCAAGGCAGACAGGACATTTAAGTTCCTCTTCCAACACGCGCGACAAATGATCTTGATCTCGTATCCAGCTCATGTTATGGTTGATGTGTTGTCGTATACGTATGCACTCTCTTCCTTCTCTCTCCGTGCAGTTTGTGCGGTTTTGCAGGCTACCTTTTTCTGTTCTGTGATGCAAAGTGCGTTCTTCGCTAATGTCTGTAAACAGTCTCACTTCGCTCGTTGTTTTCGCTGGAATGTTGTTTCCAAACTTGCCACGTCGCAACGTTAAGCTTCGTTGCAGAGGAACCGAAGATCGAATTGTTTATGCTGAATTAAATAAATATGCCCTTAGGCTGGCAATATCTTAGTTCTCCTCTTCAAATTTATAGAGAGAAAGATAAAACTCGCCACGAAGAACCTCAATGTTTTCCTCTTGACAGGAACTGGCTGAGTCAAGATTTGAATGAAATCCGCAAAAATGTTAAGGTTAAAGGTCTCGCTGTTTGACAAACACCCTCCCTCTGGCTGATGCAATCGAGTTACATGATAAACATACACCTCACGCACCAAATGAAACAGGCTTTAAAAATACAGGGGAAAATCCAAGTCAAATTTTTCTGCAGGCACAATTTTAAAAGAAAGTTTGGTCTGGCAACACACTTCTCAAGAAAAAAAATCACGTTCCTCGGTGTTTTCGAGAAAATTCTTTCAGTTTATACTCTGGCAACTGAAAATTGTTTATTTGGAGCACAGTTTCTTCACTATTAAAAGAAAACCAGCGTTTCGTCAGAATCACGATTACTGTGAAACTATTCAGATTTCATCACAGCTTTTAAAAAGGCTCTTATATGTTAATATTAGGCTTAATTAAACAATTATTTGCTAAAGTCATAAACTATTATTGCCCCTCCCATACACAAAATGCTCCAGTAGAGCTATGAAGAGGATAACAAGCCCCCCTGGAATAACAAGCAAATTTCATGAGGGAGAGCTAACCATAAAGTTTCAATCCATGATCATCCTTGCTATCTGCTGTAACAACAGACGGCAAGACACAGTTTCAGTGCCAAAATTAAGTCTTAACTAATCAAAGTGTACCATCATTTTTGAAATTCAGTTGATACGAAGACCCGTTTTGACTTTTCAGAAAGATAGCAAATAGCCCAGCGGCACCTCTAACAAGTTGAGCATACATGTGCGATAAAAGCATAGACTTGGTGGTAATTCTGTAGTTTCAGCCAGCTATTATTGCCTTATTTACTTTAGGAAAACAAGGATGTATCGTTTGACGAGCTACAAGCAAAGCAGGTAAGTAAACGAGGTGATTTAATTCTTAAAGAACAAGACAAATCTTGCAAGAACAACTTTCTGCATGCCTGGTGTCGTTTCAGACTTCATTGCCATTACGCTGTAATCCTACTCGCTGAATCTGTAAAATGTAGATGAATTTTCCAAAAGTTGAATAATTGTAAGCCACCGCAATCTTGTTCAAAAGGAAATGGGGAAACATTCCGTCGCCTTTTGTATGTTAACCGTTCATCTATAAAAATTCACATTGGGAAATTTCATTTCATAGTTGTACAGAGTACGACAAAGAACAAAAAGCTGTGATACTTTTACGGAGTTTTGGTTTGCTTACTATAGTTGTTGTACTTTCACGGTTATTGTTGTTTGTTTGTTGGATCTTATTGTGTCGCCGTGCATAGAAGTAGCATCGTTTAAACTTAACTAGTTTTAGAACTGCACACAGTGTTGTTGTATGGTTTGGCGTGGTTTGTATTGTGAAAAGTAACTAAAACTGTCGATTGTTATTTTTTTTTCCAGTTAGAAGTTGATACAGTCATAGAGCAGTGCAAAACGGCTATCTCTACCCTTAAACACTGTAAGGGATTACTTCAGGTTGAAGCCAGCCATTTGCAGGAAAAAGTTTACGAACTGCAAGAACACAAAAACAGTAACGAAACGCTCACACAGGGTCACCCTCCAGATCAGGCAAACCAGAGATGGTAAGGTGTTTAATGTAGA